GTACCTGTTACAGCTCATTCTTATGTATGTTTAGTATTACCAAATAAAACAAGATGTCGGTCAGTCACTCAATAGTGTCTGACAGTGAATCCTAGAAGGTAAACGGGTTTCCTTGTATAATTTGAATACTAGGACACTGCTAATGTTTAAAGTTCACAGATAGGACAAACATAACATATTCATAATTCCTGCAAAGTTATACAGAATTTGATGTTGACTGCACAAGGGACATAGTTAAATAAGTAACCACTTGGTTCCTGTAGGAAACCGGTTAAAGGTAGTGTATCCCTTTTGCAGCCAGCATCAAATTCTGAAGAACTTTGCAGGAATTATGAACACATGTCCCTGTGAAATTTAAACGTTAGCAGTGTCCTAGTATTCAAATTATGCAAGGAAACGGTTACTTTTTTAATTCTTTTTTTGTTGTTCAGTAACAACATAAAAATGAGCTGTAAAGGATACATGAGAATTTGTACACATTAATAACCCAATTATTGTAATAGCCAAAATCAAATCAACTGACAGGGGTCTGAAGATCAGACGATTTTTCGCGCATAATTTTTGCAACGCGTTGCAAAAATCCCTAACGGTCGATATAATTCCTTTAAACGGCAATTATTATATATCGTATTATTATATATATTGTATTATCTCGTTTCTAACATAGGAAAAACACAAGTTTATATTTTCAGCCTGTAAAAGAGACATAGCACCTTTAACAAGATAACCCGAAGGCGAACTGGAAGTAACATGAAATTCTTCAAACTGGTAGATTACATATCAACGCTTAACAATAAATAGAAAGTTAATCATACGTGTACATCCTATAGATTTATGGGGACGGTCAGAAAAGAGAGCCAGAACGATAGTGCGAAAGAAAAAGAACACATTTATGAGAGACAAACAGATACAAACTTCAAAAGGATAGCAAACGACATTAGAGGGAGGAAGAGATAGAGAGAGGGGGAGGAGGTAGAGGAGAGGAAAGAGACATGGACTTTAACAAGTATTAAGAAATTCAAAGAAAGGTAACCCACTGAATGTGTTATTTCCAAATGGAATCTCAAAATATTCAGTGTATACATTACAAGAACTAAGTTTAAATCATCTAGTCCAATCAAATGATACATACATTGTATGAAATATATGTGATTTATGGATGTTAATACGTAAAATAAATTACACAACGAATCAATATGAAGTTAAGACTATACTATACATTACATAGCAAAAGGCAAAATTAGGAATATATTGTTGGGATACAAGCATTCAAATGTCAAATAATATAGTTTGAGCAATATAAATTATAACAGGAAGCAAAGCAAAGAAAATTATTTTTTTAATTTTGAACCGGCTAAAACGCCATGTAGTTCAAGTTTCAAGTTTTTTTTTATTCATTTCCACACATCTCAAACGATTTTAACACAATAAGAGCAAAAAATAATACGATTAAAAACACAAGTATCACAGATTGTAACATCTTAATAACTTTTACACAATATAACCTGTTTCATCAAATGATGAAAGATAACAAAGACATTTCTTGTATAAACTTATCTCCTCAAAATACAGTAGTTCTGCAATTCCAGTGTGAGCGTTGAAATCTCTCTTGTTTCTATAATTGTGCTTATATTTAACATCGGTATCATTAAAAAGACTGTCTTTTCTCCTTTACTATAATGCCCCCACTTGTAATTATTATGTAATCATGGAATGTGCAGCTCATCTGAATATAGAGCCAAGTCAAACGTGAAATATTCCACATTGCATTGTAATACCTTTAAAACGTAATCCATCCTTCAAACTAATTAACGATTCACTACTGACAATGACAATGTATTTTATAGCATTTTCCTTTTGACGTGTCCGTTACAGAAAGGGCATCGTCGTAAAGGGGAATCAAAAGGCTTACTAGCAGAGAACGAGGAAGACTTTATAAGGAGACTGATCTCAAAAGTACAAGAAGAGAGTATGAACGTGGGACTACACTATGGCCCTTTTTCAAGAAAAGAAAATCAATTTTAAAAATTGTTAAAATGCATCAAAAATTATGTTATCCTAACAAAAATATTACTGATCAAAATTATGAGAACATTTAATAAATAGGAACAATTTAATCTCATATATCATTAGGCCTAAGTTTATCAGTCATTTTGTCATGGCACGCAGGCTACGTGAGAGCGTATACCAAAAAGCGATACTAGTTGATGTGGCCATATGCACCGGTGAACTGCCCAGAGACCCCAGTCTAACAAGTAGGATTTGTGGAAGGATAAAGCCATCGAGACTTTTAGAGGGGGTCGTATTATATTCTGTTCACACTTTCTCTCTCTCTTTCTTTCCTTCTTTCTCTCTGTCTTCCGTGTATCCTTCTTTTTCTTCTTCTAGTTTGTTTCAACATTCGATGACAGAGGACTGTAAGATGATACTCGTGGTTTTTAAGAGACAGCTAATTTGGAGGTAGAATTTGTTTTTTTAATATGTAAAATGCAGGATTTGGGGTAATAATGTCCTTAAAAAATGTATTACGGCCGCGAAGAGATTGAACGTTGCCTTTAAATGTGATAAAAGATACTATATGAAATAACAATGAGAGTAATTGTCAGGTAAAGCGCTTGTTTGTAATGTAGGTTTATTTAAAAACATTAAACTTCTAGAGGGAAGAAAAGGGGGTAGGTTGCTGTTGGGGAGTGAGGGGAAATCTTGCGTACCAAGTTCTACTATCACTGTCTATAATATAGTACTATTACATAATATTTTGCAAACATTTTTTTGTACAGATCCATTATTGCATTGATGATAACTTTGCTCGATCAAAGTTTTCCATTATCTACAAAAGTATCACACCACAGCATAGAAATAAGAAATTCAAATTCATATAGAAAGCAACCTTTATTTCTTCCAAAGTTTTCTCACATTAAAAAAAAAGGATTCAAGTAACAACACGTATTTATATTTAAACGTCTTTGGCTATAGGCCTACATTGGGTTCAGTTTAAGTGAAATAAAACCCAGCTATATCAGACTCAACTAAACCATGCATTATAGCATAATTATTTCAGTTTCAGTTTCCATGCATACAGTAATGGTAGTACCTTTTTGTCATCAACTTTAACAGAAATGCCCGGGGATATAGGAAATAGATGTAATTTAGGAAGGCGTAACGCTCTCAATGAGAGGAAATTATTATTTGATGACCTAAATGAACTTCAAAGGCGGCTTATTTCAATTTCATTTTTTATTTCAATATTTTGATACAGTAGTAATAGTAATCTAAGTTCAGACCCTTTTCTCGTTGACACAGGCAGTTAAAACGCAATAGTTATTATAATGCATGATTAGCGCCTTTTCCAATTCGATTCTTAAAGCGCTCTCGATCAGCCTTAGAGATTACAAAAATAATAAAAAATTTGTAAGTTTCATGATTGCATTATGACTTCATAACAGGCCTTTTTTCTTTTAGTACCTAATAGAAAGTTGTAATAGACTTACTAGATAACTTGATAAGCATGTGTATATCATACCACAAGGGCCATATCAGGTATCAGCAAGGGTGGATATCTGATATATTTACGTAGAACGAAAAATTGTTAGACGTGCTGTAATTGTTTTCATGGAATAAAGGATACAGCGAAGCGAATGTGGTTAAATGATAAATTCATATTTTGTTAATACAAAGATTAAGTACATCACTATATCATAAAAAAGATCAATGTTGTGTGTGCGATATTAACTCTACTGTACACCTACATTGTCTGTATTTGTATGGAATGCAATGAAAGTATGATATCCCCAGTAATAGTCTGCAACCACTGACAATTGGTCTGTGAACTGTGCCCTTACCTTTGGAGACTTAGACAAGCCGTTCTACGACCAGTTTGATCGACACAAGTTTTGTGATGCAGCGGTTCAAACCGACAGCCGACCAAAATACTCCGGAGACCACTGACAACATTTTAAAGACTGACATGAACCTCTTTACGACCTCTTACAAATTTCTCCCGACCAATGGTTGTCGGGTGTCGGCAACTGGTCGTATCTTTAATGTGGCTTAGGGTTTAGAAACTAGAAGACTGAAAAATACATGCAAATTAGACTTTCCAAACATTTATATTCAAATACGTGATTAAGACCCTAAAAGTACAATTCGGTCTAAAGGAATCCTGAAGCTCACGCGAACTCTCTCCCTTGTGAAATTTGAAATCTAAAGTCGACATGCTCTATTAAAAAATAACTGTTTGAACTAAGCGATTGTGTTAGTATTAATGATTCGTGTTTCACTCTTCATTTTGTATACATATTTTGTAATTTCTTTCTATTTTTATCATCCAACGTCTGGCATCAATCATTAACTTTATTGCTATACCGACAGGTGATATCATTGTATTTAGATATAAGCGTTCTTTCCTTTATCCTTTTTTCTAAATATCAAGCCACTCTCTTCCTTTTCTATTTATATTATAGTTAAATTGTTGGCTGTAAGCACATCGAGCTTTGTGCTTACGCTGCAGCCCTGCTAAATCATGTTTATTGACTTCATAATTGATTATGCATTAAAGGGGCATGTTCCCCGTATTCCAGAGGGCGCTCAAAATACGTATGTGCTGGCGGACGGCGTTGTAGGTGCCTATTGACACCAACAGAATACGGCTATTACGCAGATGGCATGTTCCGATAACTACACTGGCGGGAACGTGCCCCTTTAAGCGCGTTACTTAATTTTCTTTTTCTTTTTTACTTAAAAAACAAAAACTTTTTTTTATGTCATGTAATGTATTTGATAAGTGTATCAATGTAAATGTATCAAAATAAAATGTAACTGTCACATTAATGGACATAAATATGTACGTTCAAAAAAAAATGAGACAAATAATATAGATATTAATAAATCTAGTAAAAAAATATATATATAAAAATCAATTTAATAAGTAAGCTCATTCATACGTTTTTTTAGTTAAAGACTTTACTTGATGTATTTTTAGTGGGGATCGAATTGAAATTAACTGAATTTATTTCCATTTCAGCGATACAATATACACAAAACATTTCAAACTATTTGGATATGTACACAATATAATAATAATAATAATAACTGTTGACATTAAAACAAAATGAATCTGATAACATACTAGCAAGAACTATTCATCAACGAGAAATCTGCAAAAGAAGGGCCATCACAGTGAGCGCTTGCTTGAAAGCGTGATAGCCCGGGATGGAGAGGGGGAGGATATCTTGATCATTCCTCGATTTGATCGTCCTTGCTTTGGTCTTCCTTGCTCTGATATTCCTTCGTTCGATCTTTCCTGGTTCTATATGGGGAGAGCAGAAAATAACAACTTTATGGTTCTTTATTTTATTTACTTGTCAATCTATAAAATTAGATTCAAAATTGGTGTATGTGTGCAAGAGAGGGAAAAAGGAAATAGAACACTTTGCAAGCGCCTGAATTAGAATGGGAACATAAATAAAAGGGAAAGCGCGCGCGCGTGTGTTTGTGTGGGTGGGTGTATGGGTGTGCTCCCCTGTGTGTGTGAGGGTTGGTGGGAGAGAGATATAGAGAAAGTGGATTTATAAAATGGATTTGCAAGGGAGAGGGTGGAGTTTAGAGCAGTACACGCACTCTTAAACAAGGCCCTGTAATATAATAATGCCTTAAGTACTCAAATTATATGTCTTTACAAAGAATTTTTCAGTTCCGAAACATTAACCTGCTCGTAAAATTGATTGTGTAGCTTTTTTATGTTATTCAATCGAGTACACTCTAATCATATTACAAGTACTATTATTTTTTTATGAATCAAACATCACCAATATTAGAATGAAAAACTAATGTCTATCTACATGATCTAGAAGCAAATGGGAAACTTACTTAAGTAGAAACATGATCATCATGGCGACTAGGATAATGATGCCGATGACAACGATAATGGTTATCGTCCCCTCCATCGGGAAGCCTGAGGAAACTAAATGAAAACAATGTTATTTGGATTGGAGCGCACAATAAGTCAACTCTAAAAATTCAGTAAGCCTTAAATGAAAATAATCACCTACGCACACTGGCACACAAACCCACAATTTTTCCTTATTTTGTTTCCATCAATATCAAAACAATACAAATAATTCTCCAAAATACAATTCTTTTTCATCATAACAACAAAATTAGATAAACTTAATTTACTTGTACAATTCATAAATTACGATCAGAAAAACAAATTATAACCACCTCCCTTACTATCCCCAAACACCGCCCTCTACAATCTTGTCATTCATTCATCCTCACACGTACACATGCACACTCACATACCTGTACACTCTTGGCAAAATGAGCAGAACTTGTCCTTATCAAAACCGAACTTCGTCATTTGTTCTTTTGTGTATTCTGATTTCGAACGCAAGAGTTGGGCAGAAATAATTAAAGTCGGCATTACATAGCTGATGCTTACAGCGTAATCGAACCAAGAACTGCAAAACATCTTAAACTCCTTTCTTCCAAAAACCATGAGTGATTGTAATAAGTTACCCCTTGAGATTACCACGAGAGTTTCTCTGGATATTTTTAAAGCAACCCTTTCAAAATCCTAATAATTTGTTAACATCTACACACCGAGGCGTCACGGGGCTTTAAGTTATGTTGTCGTGTCACACGATGAAGATGAAGATGAAAATGCCATTTTTGAGAAGGTTTAAAGCACGTGTTTCTTTCGTTTCATAATTCGATTGGCGGCCTCAGATAGCTTATTGGTTTGGGAAAAGAGTTTTAATTCCTTAAAAACAAGACACATGACGATTCGGGTTTAGAAGATTGCAGTTAATGGGTTGTTTAGATGTGTAAAATCAGGGAGGCACATGGATGCGGGGCCTTTTTTTAAGTTTCACCGTTCTAGAGTTAGGTCACAAGACCCCCAGCCCAGACCAGCTTTGCTTTGTGTTTTTCATAGATATGATTTTTCCTATCGATAAAAAACTTTCAACGACACTTAATTTCACTTTTGCTTAGGATGTTTGTTGATTTCCTTATACTGTTGAATTTCTGCCAAGTTTTGAGACTGTTGTGGTTTTTCTTGGCGAGAGAACTGAGAACAAGAGTAGACGGAGATTAATGATAGAAGTTGCTATGGGCAATCCTGGAGATAAGCTCTCGAGCTTTCGTGCCGGTTATTCTGTTCAAGCTGAATTACTTTTGATCTCTTATTCTTGTATTTTGTATGGTGGAAGCTTGACGAATAAAAGTCAATAAATCAATCATGCCGCTTCATTAGGTTGTCGTTATGTGACATAATTATTAAACAACTAATATTATACGAAGCCGAACTTAAGAGAGGTTAACAAATTTGCATCCAAGAACTTAATACCTACAAAACTTGGTACCACTTGCTTTTTTCATGATGAACATAGCAGTCTTTTCATTTTTTTTTTTAAAGCGGGTATAATTTTGTTTTGGTAACATCGCATATCAAGCTGTATCTTGCAAAATTCATATTAATTGCATTTTTACATATCATTTCTTACTTACGAGGTTGAGGGGAAGACCTATCGGCGATGGTGACAATAAACGAACAAAAGTTGATATTTCCGTATCTGTCGGATGCAACGTAAACAACAGCCGTTGTTGACTCAGATGGGAAACTCGCATTTGGATGATAGTTTTGGATGATTGTCACAGGACCCGATGGATCATGCGCAGTTACCTCCGACCACGTGACGGTTCGAGCACTTGACCCATTTAGTGGTAGCATGATGTCCGAGGGGCAAGATAGAGTGGGTCCGGTGATGTCAGCTGAATTAAACAATGAAATAGAAATGGCAGAATCCGGGCGATAATATAAAAAAAAAAACTATTCAAATCAGTATGCATGATTTTAGCAAGATGGAAAAATTGCCATGGATACTTTAAAAAAATACAATAGCAGTAGATTGGTTTCGCAACACTGTAGCTATGGTTAATATTCTTGCCTTTGCGTTTCCAACCAGACAGATTTGGCAGTGTTTCACTAACATGATATGTGATATTTAGAATAGACCAGATCGTAGTTAGCACACGGTACAAATGACTCCAGTTATCCAAAGACCTTTAAACATGTAAATGTCCCCATTTGAGCATTTTAGAACATATTCACTGCCAAAGTAATGGAGGAACTTCGTGAATAACTATTATTTGCTATCTTAATTGAGAACAATACATCCACCTGTAAATCATAGAATGTACCGTTGATCAATATGAATAGTAAATATAACTTTCATGAGAACGTTTCCAGTATTCGTCTCGATGGGTTTTACAATGTTTTACAAAACTCTATTTTACATACCAATGCGCAGACAATACTAAAAACGGGCTCATTGAAACTTGTCGTTCTAACCTAAATGACATTTCCCCTGATTTAATGTCGGTTCTGATTTTACCCGTGACAGTTACGGTGAAAGAACAACTGGCCGACTTATTGTTCATGTCTTTAGCTTCATAGGTGACAGGGACTGGTATCCCGCGAGTTGAGAAGAGAGCACCAGAAGTCTCAGACGATTCTAGGATGACTCTTCCGGAGTCATCGGTAGCTGTCGGTGCAGTCCAGTTCACTGACACAAAGAGCTCCCACGGTGCAACGAAGACGTGGATGTCATCCGGACATTCAAAAATCTCTGGTTTGGTGAAGTCAGCTGCAAAGGGTGAATCGGGCAATTAAATTAGCATAACGTAGATGTACGTGTATATTGGAAAATTAAATAACAATCTTTTCAACAAAAAACCCAAAGTAATTACATTACAATCGTATTTCGGATTAGATAACGAGGTCAATTATAATTAACTTACCTTCAATTACAAAGCAGTAGAAATTTGTTGGAGTTTGGTGACAAATTTCTCGTATTGGGTCACAGGGACCTGATGCACAAAAGTCAACCTCTGTAAGAAAATCGGAAAGTGATATTAATCCTAAGTCCCAGTGGTCTCTATTTACAGCAAATACAGAATTGATCAAGGGGGGCCGGGGGTGCAAAATCAAAATTTCCCGAGGAAGCCTGCCGAAGACACGCCAAAACTAGGGGATCTGGAGCCTTCTTAGGCCAGTTTCTCGCCTCTGATGAGGATACCACTTCGTAAAAACATAAAAGAGGGTATTTGAGATCTTTCAGCTGGAATGGTGTACTGATTGATGTTGGTGGCAGAGGGGCATGGGTTGTTCCGCTACTATTAGAAGTGATTACGGTTAACGTCCGGTTTACTGATTATTTTGTTGTAAGGATATTATAAAATGCGTTCAGATTGGTTTAAACCAAATGGATTTAAATTATCGCTCTGTTCGGGACGGGAATTTTTTGTTTACCTTGAACTTGGATGGGAATAACGCAATCGGCTTCGAATCCATCACTATTCCAGAACATGTAAACCACGAGGTGTAAACCGTGGTCGAACAAGTCTCCTGGGGTTTGCGACGACATCCCCTCTATGTCGCTAGTGTTGGCCGGGTTTGTGGCGTTGGGCGGATCGAAGAAGACAGGAAGGGACTCTGTTGCCAGCAGACTGGTGTTATACATTGACGGTATTCTACTCGTCGGACAACCTGATATAACAGGTGCCAGGTTGGTGTCTGAATCTGAATCTGAAGGTTATGTTTTGAATGAAAAAAATAGGGTACTAAAAATTCTAAGTTAAAATCAGGGTCATTTCTTTCCTCTCTCTCTCTCTCTCTCTCTGCTGTCTTCTTTTTTTTCTTCTTCACCTCTTTTACATAAATTTTTCCGCCATACGAATCAGAAAATGGTAAAATGGGAATAACATTATTCTAGTCACTGCACTCTAAACAATATTTAATCGAAATTCTTAGGAAAAGAATTCTGTGAGTGCCACACAGCTAGGAAATAATGAACCTAATTGACAGTGGTACCCTGTACCTGCTTCTTAATATCTATGTGTGAGATCAAAACCTTTTAGAATTGAAGCGACATTACTGTTACACAAAATTTACAAAATGACTTACCCTCGACAGTGACATAGAAGAAGCATTGACCTTCGTTGCCGGCTTCATCAGTAGCCGTGTAGATCACAGCGTGGCGTCCAATGTCGAATAGGTGCCCGGAATCGTATTTGCTTTGTACGAACACCGGTCCCGAAGCCTTCGGTTCGACCCACGTCACAGAAGCGTTTTGCAAACCCGCCGATGCTCCCACAGTAATGTCTTGTGGGCAGACGATTACTGGTGGTGACAGGTCTGGATAAATTGTGAAGGTTGAATTACAGTCATTTCAAATTGAGGTGCAAGAAACTCTACGTCACAATTACGTTACCTTGATCTTTTAAAAAAAGTGCCCATGAAAATGAACAGTGGCGTGGCACGGGTTCAGACAATGAGTGCATCAGCATCATTTGGGGCGGGGTTGGAGGGGAACTGTTCTTATACACCGTTGGTTAAATGTGAATTTACAAGACTGCTTCTCATTATTAACCCTCTTTTTCACTTTTTTCTTAAATGCCATTCACTGAAAACATTATATCGTTCCTCCCCTGCTACTGGCTTTGATCCTAGAGAAGAGAAGGGAAATGAAGTAGAATGTACGGTGAAAATGTGTAGGACAGGTGAATATGCATGTGGCACCTGTTCTACACATTTGTACATAATAGCAGGGAAGGGATGTTCCTTTGTCTACCTGAGGAACTGTATATTTTATGCGCACGCGGCATACTAGTACCTTGAGCATGTAAAGGCGCCATATAAATATCAATATGTATGTATGTACTAGATTTAGGAAAATCAAGGTTGACGCATTCTCGATCGCCGACTGAGACGACGTAACGCATGCGCAGTGCCTTAAAATGTTGTCACACGTTGCAGCCAAAGCTGTTGACGTGCAAATCTAAAAGTCCCTACTGAAGAGTAGGGTGCGTACATCCAGGAGGAATGTTAAAGGTATTACAAAGTTTTGGTATGGGGTCATGAATTTAGTTCAAATTAACATATTGGAAGCATATGCGTTCCTAAAATATTTATTGATCGTTGTCCCGATTGAAATCGAGTCTAAAGTTATGAAATTATAAATAATAAACTCTTTATGTTGTATAGCTCCCTCTGAAGGTCATGATATCAATTTAGCTATGAAACAATGTTTCTTGACTAAAATCGACCGATTAGCTTTTCCTGTTTGAAAATTATATATCACAACTACATATTCTGAGATTTTCATGGTCGCAGCTACCATTGTACGGCCGTAGGCGCTATTTGAAATTTATCAAAATTTACCGGGAGCACCAGTAAATTTTTATATTAAATTTTTCTCGAAAACAGAAGTGTTTTAGGGGGTAATTTTTTTAGTGCTTATAGTACATCCACAGGGGCATCCAAATATATCAAAATTGTAAAGATTCACTATCCACCCAATTTTCAAAATTTCCCAAAACTTTGTATTACCTTTAATGATGGATTACTCAAGGGTCCGTATCAAGGAAGACATCGTCGTCAACAAATCATACAGCATTTTTTTAATTCTGTGTTAAATTATCTTTGACGATGACCTTTTTATCAATATTGTGCAATAGCTGTGGGACACAAAAACTTTACTCACAATAGAGAAAATCATTTTACCAATCAGGAAGTGCTTACCTGCGCTTGTCCAGATCACTTGAAAACCAGCATTCTCCACACTCTTATCTGTCGTGAAATACAACCAGGCCGAGTCCGTATCATCAAGACTAAAATTCTTAGGGACGATGTTCCCTGAGAAGAAATGGACTTGGCGCTCTGGAATAATTTCTTCACGTAAGTCCAGATTGAAGTCTACTACCAGTCCTGGACCTACCGTCAGTTCGTCCTTGAATTCTTCAACTTCGAATGGGTCGTTGAATGTGAACATGATCCGAGTGGCGCCAGGGATGAATAGTAGGTACAAGATCCTGTCTCGAGCAACGTAGGGGTTAGGATATGACGGCGATTTGAATTTTCCGCTGCGGCAACTGGGGCCATAGCAAGTTATTGTTGTTGCGTCAGCTGCAATTGGTGTTAATGAAATAATTAAGCCATAATTTGTTGGTATTTCGAGATAAGTACTCTTTAAAGAGACTTGGTAACTTCGTTCAGATGAGAGAACATGGCGCTAAGGTAGTGACTTCAATGCTAGATGTACAGTTAAATTAAAGATATTCTGAACGCTTGAGTGAAAACAAACCATTATTAAAGATAACAATTGGAAAAACGAATCTGATCGATTCTTTAAATCTCTATTATATAAATATGCAATCACAATATTTAATGACATTTTGGGTGAATTTAATCGTCACAAAGCAATGAATTGGCTCTATATACTATTCCAGACATTAAAGTGTTGAAAGATGTTTAAACCCTGTCTTATTTTCATGAAAAAACACTCGAGAAAATTCAAAAATGAGAGGGGTAATTTACTGTTGAGAGGGTGTCTCACAGTGACACCTTAATAAAAACATAAATATCTTTGTGGTTTGAGAACTTTTTCAGGATTTGTTGGATGTTAGAGGGTTTATACAGTAGAAGGAATACAAAAATAACGCATTTTTTTTCATTAACCTTCAACAATGTTACCGAGTCACTTTAAGATCTACAAAGATCTGCAAATGCAGAGGCGGTGTTCCCGGGGGTGGGGTAGATGGCATAGTACACTCCCCAGTGTACTGCGCCCTCTACCCCCCCCCCCCCCTATACACACTTTTTCAAGTTCCCCCAAAGTGCACCTTTTCACATAGGAAAAGTGCATGATACTTTTACTTCAGGTAAGTGCCACTTTTTCTTTCAAATAGGTGCCCGAAACAGATTATTATGAGTTCCACTTACGACTTCTAATAAGCGCCCCTTTTATTTTGACACGTGCCTGTTTTTCTTTCAAATAGGTGCCCTTTTTCATTTTGGTATTTGTCCCCTTTTCCTTTTTAATAAGAGCACTCCCCTTTTCTCATATATGCCCCTGTTCACCTCTTATACACGCCCCTATTAAAATTTGATAGGCAGGGGTGGCGGAGCGACTTTCAAAGTGAGGGGGAGGGGAAGCACACATACAATGGGAAATCTGAAAGCGAAATTTTACAATTCTTTTGACATTGGTATATAACCCTACATTGGGATTACATTAACGGGGATGATTTCGATATTTTTTTCTCTGTATACATCATACAAAATAGTGTTTAAGCATCATACTTTGTAGTTGGGTGTAATGGTCGGAAAATTCATTTGCGAGCGATTGAAGCGAGCGAGGAAATATTATTAGATGTGTGAGGTCGCAGTGCGAAAAATAACATCTTATGAAAAGGAAAAAACCTAATCCTGTTGGGGTTATTACCACATTCTCATAACGGAAAAGTGAAAAGACCTTTGATAAGTAACATAATGATATCATCTATAAATGCGAGCGAGCGAGGGGAAACTTTTCTTGATAAGGGATTTTTTTAGAGGTGACAAGGGGATAGGTCCCTAATTAGCAAGGTAAAGGGGCACGTATCTTTGTTAAAGGGAAATTATCAGAGGTGAAAAGGGGCACTTACCGCACCTGAAAAAGGGCACATATGAGAATGAAAAAGTGGCAATTATAACAAATGGAAATGTGCATTAGTTGAAAAAAATGGGGCACCCATCAGATTTGAATAAGGGCAAATCATCGGAGTTGAAGGGGGCACTTATCTGAAGTTAAAAGCAGTAACTTCTCGTACCCGAAAGGGTCATTTACCAGAGATGAACATGGGCACTTATGAGAAGGGAAGGGGCTCTTTTTGGTTGAATATGAACTTGTCAATGGAAAAGGGGTAGTTATTAAAAGGAGAAGGGACACAAAGTAAAAGGGGCACCTCTCAGATTTAAATAGGGCACTTCTCAGCGGTGAATGGGACACTCATCAAAAGTGAAAAGAGGCACTTCTCGTACCTAAATAGGGGCACTTTATATGAGAATGGATATTGGACACTTTGACACATTATACTCGACACATTTGTCGAGGGAAAAGGGACACGTTTCAAAATAAAAGTGGCACCTATTAGAGGTGAAAAAGGAAGGGGCACTTATACAAATTAATAGGGACACTTGTCAAAGTTTAAAAAAGGGTCACTTTTAGGAATACTTGAAAAAGTGGGGGTACTGTGCCATTTCAGGTGCGAAAAAATGCCCCATTTCCGATATTTTTTAATTTGACACGTACTCCGTATCTTTTGAAATAAGTGTCATTTCCCTATTGATAAGTGCCTCTTTTCATTTTCACCATATAATTTGCTCCTAATTTAAAGTGACTAAGAGCAACTTTTTCTTTAATTCTCGCCATAGCTCGCTCGTTGCGCTCGCTCCACGTTATAGTTTTAATGATTATGTCGTTATTAAAGGTCTTTTCAAGTAAAACCCTTTCAGGATTGATGTTTTTTCTCTACATAAAATGTAATTTTTGCACTGCGACCTCACAAATTTTGAAATTTTTGCTCGCTCGCTTCGCACGCTCGTAAATGATTATTCAGACCATCACACCCAACTGCAAAGTATGATGCTTAAGCAGAATCTTGGACCATGTAAAGAGAGAAAATATCAAAATCATTCCTGATAATTTAATCACAATGCTATAGGGGAATTTACCAATGTCGACAAATGTTATATTTTCGCTTTAAGGTTTGACTTTGAGGGAATCCCTTTTTATTGGTCCCCCCCCCCCCCTCTTTGAAAGACGCTCAGCTGCTCCTGATTAGGTGATAGGATGTACTATAAACTCAAACTAAAATTGATGCAAGATGACTCATCTCACGATGACGCCCATAATAATTGAAATAAAGTTGCTTACTATGATTATGTTTTGCAAACAAAGTGGATTGTAGGTAACTCTTCGTCATCATGGTCATGTAGGAGGTAATCAAAACAAGGCTAAAAGACAATTTGATAGATGTGAAGTGACACTGAAGCATATGGGTTTACATTTCCGAATTCTAACATTCTTATAAAGACTGCCGATGATATTCTGATGTTATACCAAGTTTAATTCTTAAAAATAGGCGTAGTACTATTCTATTCCTGATTCAGAAAGCAAAAACCAGCGTCTCTACTTATTTAGTCGTTTTAAAGTTTATTCATGACCGTCACGGTGGATATGAAAATGAACGGAGAAGGGAAGGAGCCTCAAATGAATCGAATCCAAATGGCATCGAATGTATGTATGTTCAACTTACAAGAAGATTGGTCGCAGTTATATCCTTGGCCACTTTGGCACTCGCAGACATGGGTCGATTCGGTCGAACCAGATCGGTCGTAACATATCTCCCCAGATGAACATGGGTTGGTGAGACATTCTGAATAGAGGGAACAGATTTGTTTTACATATATTATCAGAAAATACATTCTTAAATGATATAAACATCAAATAATGCGATGCGTTTATCTTTGCCGTTATAAACACTCTTCTTTTATTCTTACTGAAGTACTCTAAAATTATTGGCTCAATTTCAGTTTGTTTTTGATCGTCTGGTTTTACTAGATTCTCACATATTTCTCTTATTTTTTGCTGGTTTTCAATAAATTAACTAAAGTGGATTGCATTTGCAGATATGTTTTATTTGTAATACTTGTGCTGAATACAGAATTTGTGATATGATTATTCAAAGAATGCTGATGGTGATGGTGGTGGTGGTGATGATGATCATAATAGTGATGATGTTTTGATTGTGGTGGTGATGATGATGATCATAATAGTGATGTTTTGATTGTGGTGGTGATGATGATCATAATAGTGATGATGTTTTGATTGTGGTGGTGATGATGATCATAATAGTGATGATGTTTTGATTGTGGTGGTGATGATGATGATGATAGTGATGATGTTTTGATTGTGGTGGTGATGATGATGATGATAGTGATGATGTTTTGATTGTGGTGATCATGATGATCATAATAGTGATGATGTTTTGATTGTGGTGGTGATGATGATCATAATAGTGATGATGTTTTGATTGTGGTGGTGATGATGATCATAATAGTGATGATGTTTTGATTGTGGTGGTGATGATGACCATAATAGTGATGATGTTTTGATTGTGGTGGTGATGATGATCATAATAGTGATGATGTTTTGATTGTGGTGGTGATGATGATCATAATAGTGATGATGTTTTGATTGTGGTGGTGATGATGATCATAATAGTGATGATGTTTTGATTGTGGTGGTGATGATGATCATAATAGTGATGATGTTTTGATTGTGGTGGTGATGATGATCATAATAGTGATGATGTTTTGATTGTGGTGGTGATGATGATCATAATAGTGATGATGTTTTGATTGTGGTGGTGGTGATGATGATCATAATAGTGATGATGTTTTGATTGTGGTGGTGATGATGATCATAATAGTGATGATGTTTTGATGGTGGTGGTGATGATGATCATAATAGTGATGATGTTTTGATTGTGGTGGTGGTGATGATCGTGGTGGTGGTGATGATGATCATAATAGTGATGATGTTTTGATGGTGGTGGTGATGATGATCATAATAGTGATGATGTTTTGATGGTGGTGGTGATGATGATCATAATAGTGATGAGTTTTTGATTGTGGTGGTGGTGATGATGATCATAATAGTGATGATGTTTTGATTGTGGTGGTGGTGATGATCATAATAGTGATGATGTTTTGATTGTGGTGGTGGTGATGATGATCATAATAGTGATGATGTTTTGATGGTGGTGGTGATGATGATCATAATAGTGATGATGTTTTGATTGTGGTGGTGATGATGATCATAATAGTGATGATGTTTTGATGGTGGTGGTGATGATGATCATAATAGTGATGATGTTTTGATGGTGGTGGTGATGATGATCATAATAGTGATGATGTTTTGATTGTGGTGGTGATGATGATGTTGATGACGATTGTGGTGATGGTGTCTCAGATTGTAAGAAATCTATATATATACTTACCGTATTGCCCTTGTCCCTGGACAACACTGGTGGTTAGAAAGCAGTGGCGGATCCAGGGGGGGCCGAAACGGCCGCGGCCCCCCCTATTGGCGGCGCAAAAAAAAAGAGGAAAAAAAAGAAAGGAGAAGAGAAGAAAAAAAGAAGAGAAAAGAAAGGAGAAGAGAAAAGAAAAGAGATGAGAAAAGAAAGAAGAGAGAGAGAGAGAGAAAGAAAAAAAGAAGAAGATTCCCCCCCTCCCCCCCCCCCCCCCCCCCCCCCACCTCACTCCGGGGTCGGAGGGACCGATTTTGTGTTCCCAAAATTTCCGATGAAGGGTTACTTTTCACGCAACAAAGTCCGGCCCGTAATACACACAAATCCGGCCCGTACTGACTCTACACACCGAAGATAAGGGGTGCTTTCAAACTAAGAGAGGGAACATACATACGCATACCCTAGATAACACTGAGTGGGTGGGGGGGTGGGAAGGGGAAGAGAAAAGTCGGGTGAGAAAGGGGGAAAGACAAGGAAATGGCGCTAAGTGACAGTAACGACGAATAAGGGAAAAACTGTTATCGGGAGATTTGGGGTCATTCCAGAAGGCTTGGGAAACGTTATTGAATAGAGGGGGCCGGGCCGGCCGCATACAATCTCGAGCCACGGATTCAAAGTTAAACGTTACAAACAGCCCCTGCTTTTTGGAAAAATTGAAAAGGGCACAATGTTTTGGATGTCTTTCAAATAGAAGCTATATACTTCACAGTCAAATTTTGCCCTTCATTTGGATTCAGCTCATACCAACTCGCTTGTGCTTATATTTGAACTCATGTAGGTAGTGATAATGGACAGCGGCGGCGATCCTGGGCCCGATAGAGAGACACGTCCCCGCCCCCCCCCCCCCCCACTCAGGTTTCGAAATGACCGCATGCGTGTTGCCAAAATGTCCGGTAAAGGGGTACTTTTCGTGCGACAAAGTCCGGCCCGAGAATTGTAAAAAAAGGGGTGTATTTGACTTTTCACCCGGAGATTTCTTTAAAAAGGGGGTGTTTTTTCTTTTTTTCTCTCATCTCTTTGGACTCCTGAGAAATTATTCCGAATTTAGGGGGGGACATTGAGCATTTTTCCTGATTTAGGGGGGTCTCCAAGGCAGGAAAAGCCCGCGAAAAGCCCGCGAAAGGGGGGTTCGGAAATGTTGGCAGTCCTCAGATAGGGGGTGCTTTCAAAAAGAGGGAATGAGCATATGCGTACCCTAAATAACACTGAGTGGGGGGGGGGTGGGGGCCGGGGACACGTCCCCCGGAAATTTAGATATATAGCTAGAAAGAAATATACATGTAACGGAAAGAACGTACATATTGGACTAAAGGATTTTTCTAGAACGCATAATTTCAGCATTCTACATTGCAAAATCTCGCTTGGTCGCTCCGCTCCGGCCCTCGCCCGATAACACAAAACTAAGATATATGACGCTCCCGGTCGCGATTATTTCATGGTTGGTGTATACATAGATCTTTTTTCCCCTTTCATTTCTACTGACCTAATTGTATGCTTTCACAATCATGATTGTTTCATTTTCCCTTTAAAGCATGCGTAGCTAGGGGCGGTAGGGGCAGTAAGAGGACATAGGACGAAAAAAGGAGCAGACAAAGAAACATTTTTGACAAGTCTAAAACGGGAAAACAAATCATCTTCTAATTTAATGAATAAATTTAATGAAACGTTAAGCTTCTGCGCTTTGCGCTGGAGGGGAAAACTAAATTCAGAGAAGGATTAAGAGTCGGAAATGGAACAACGAATTATCTTCTTTCTCTAATAATTTCATTAAACTATGAAAGGTCAGAGCTTCCGCGCCTCGCGCGGAAGGTGGAAAATGAATTCAAACAAGGATTAAGAATCGAGAATGAGAAAACGAATCATCTTCTTTCTCTAATAATTTAATGAAGCGTCAGAAGCTTACGCGCTACGCGCGGGAGGAGGAAAACTGAATTCAGACAAGGATTTAGAGTCGAGAATGGAACAACGAATTATCTTCTTTCTCTAATAATTTCATTACACTATGAAAGGTCAAAGCTTCCGCGCTTCGCGAGGGAGGGGGAAAACTGAATTCAGACAAGGAATAAGAGTCGAGAATGAGAAAACGAATCATCTTCTTTCTCTAATAATTTAATGAAGCGTCAGAAGCTTACGCGCTACGCGCGGGAGGAGGAAAACTGAATTCAGACAAGGATTTAGAGTCGAGAATGGAACAACGAATTATCTTCTTTTTCTCATAATTTAATGAAGCGTAAGAAGCTTACGCGCTACGCGCGGGAGGAGGAAAACTGAATTCAGACAAGGATTTAGAGTCGAGAATGAAACAACGAATCATCTTCTTTCTCTTATAATTCAATGAAACGTCAAAGCTTCCGCGCTTCGCGCGAGAGAGGGGGGGGGAACTCAATTCAGACAAGGATTAAGAGTCGAGAACGGTACTCTTTCTCTAATGATTTAATGAAACGTCAAAGCTTCCGCGCTTCGCGCGGGAGGGGGTATGGAAACTGAATTCAGACAATGATTAAGAATCGAGAACAGTACAACGAATCGTCTTCTTTCTCTAATAATTTAATGAAACGTTAAGCTTCTGCGCTTTGCGCTGGAGGGGGTAATCTGAATTCAGACAAGGATTTAGGGTCGAGAATGAAACAACGAATCATCTTCTTTCTCTTATAATTCAATGAAACGTCAAAGCTTCCGCGCTTCGCGCGAGAGAGGGGGGGGGGGGACTCAATTCAGACAAGGATTATGAGTCGAGAACGGTACTTCTTCTCTAATGATTTAATGAAACGTCAAAGCTTCCGCGCTTCGCGCGGGAGGGGTATGGAAACTGAATTCAGACAATGATTAAGAATCGAGAACGGTACAACGAATCGTCTTCTTTCTCTAATAATTTAATGAAACGTTAAGCTTCTGCGCTTTGCGCTGAAGGGGGTAATCTGAATTCAGAGAAGGATTGAGGGTCGAGAATGGAACAACGAATTATCTTCTTTCTCTAATAATTTCATTACACTATGAAAGGTCAAAGCTTCCGCGCTTCGCGCGGGAGGGGGAAAACTGAATTCAGACAAGGAATAAGAGTCGAGAATGGTACAACGAATCATCTTCTTTCTCTAATAATTCAATGAAACGTCAAAGCTTCCGCGCTTTGCGCGGAGGGGGTAATCTGAATTCAGACAATGATTAAGAACCAAGAACGGAACAACGAATCGTCTTCTTTCTCTACTAATTTAATGAAACGTCAAAGCTTCTGCGCTTCGCGCGCGAGAGAGAGAGAGAGAGAGGGGGGAACTCAATTCAGACAAGGATTAAGAGTCGAGAACGGTACTCTTCTTTAATGATTTAATGAAACGTCAAAGCTTCCGCGCTTCGCGCGGGAGGGGGTATAGAAACTGAATTCAGACAATGATTAAGAATCGAGAACGGGACAACGAATCGTCTTCTTTCTCTAATAATTTAATGAAACGTCAAAGCTTCCGCGCTTCGCGCGGGAGAGGGAAGGAGGGGACTCAATTCAGACAAGGATTAAGAGTCGAGAACGGTACTCTTCTTTAATGATTTAATGAAACGTCAAAGCTTCCGCGCTTCGCGCGGGAGGGGGTATAGAAACTGAATTCAGACAATGATTAAGAATCGAGAACGGGACAACGAATCGTCTTCTTTCTCTAATAATTTAATGAAACGTCAAAGCTTCCGCGCTTCGCGCGGGAGAGGGAAGGAGGGGACTCAATTCATACAAGGATTAAGAGTCGAGAACGGTACTCTTTCTCTAATGATTTAATGAAACGTCAAAGCTTCCGCGCTTCGCGCGGGAGGGGTTATGGAAACTGAATTCAGACAATGATTAACAACCGAGAACGGTACAACGAATCCTCTTCTTTCTCTAATAATTTAATGAACATTAAAGCTTCTGCGCTTCGCGCGTAATGGGGGGGGGGGGGGGGGACAGCGAGCTGCCCGAATATGAATTTGTTATATCTTTTCTCGTGTATTTTGGTGATAAATAACACTTTCACAAAATACATATTATCCTCAAATTTTTGCTCGCTCGCTTCGCTCACTAGCCGAATTGTGAAACCAGAAAATTACTTTTTCGGGCAAGAGGCTTCAGCCCCCCCCCCCCCGATGAAAATGTCCAAAAAAAAATACCGGTATGGTGCTTCTAATATGACCTTGTCAGTATTGGTATGTTGAGTTGAAAAACTGTCTGCGCAATTTTCAAATTTCCGGCCCCCCCCCCTATTGGAAAATCCTGGATCCGCGCCTGGAAAGAATATGAAGATTATTCTAAGGCACCGTTCCTTTCGGTCATCCATCCTCATAGTCAATTCGGTATTTAAACCAAAAAAAGCACGATAATGTACTCTGCTCGCCTTTTTTATTTATCTCCTTTTATCTCCTTCCCACAATGTATCTCCTATCCATTGTATACATCAATAAGCCGTGTTATTTTTCTTATTGATATATTTGTTATTTCAGCTCTGCTTTGTTGTTGCATGAACGGTGTCCGTGTGGAGAACACAATGGGACTTGAACATATTTGAGTCCCTGTCAACGCGAAAGTCAAATTTCTGTTTTCATTTCCTCGAAGAAGGTCGAATGACTATTGTTCGTATTTTCATTGGTGTGTGAATATGGGATATCTATATGTAGCAGTTGATTGAAGTAAGGCGAGAAAGAGGCGCGAAGATAGAGAGACCCACACTGGTTGGATGGTTGGTCGGTGTTACGATCATAAAATATGAAATACAAACATCATAGCCTATCGTGAAACAAAAACTAAAACGTTTAACATAGACTATTCTAGAAAAAAAACATACGTTCATTTTTATATTTATTTCACACTAGATGCCCTAAAGAACCGAAATGCACTAATTAAAGCACATTACTTGGATTAAATACATTAAACTAGCAATCACTTTTACTAGCTCGACTTCCTTCACCAGTAGCAAAGTTTTTATAAAAGATGCGCCGCTTAATATTTTGTCACGAATTGGCCCCCCCTCCCCTCATGCCACTAGCTGGATCCACCCCTGTTCTTCACAAACATTATGCTTGAATAATGTAAGTGATACACATATTACATGTATGATGTATCCTTATTAGGCTTTTTTTTTTAGATTAAAATTTAAGCCTTAAAAGGCAAATGTGAATCCTCTGTTTAAAATTTTAACACATTCGCCTAAATAATAAATAATAAGGGGACAATATAACCTCAAACAGAAAGGACATCATTCGTATAGGTAAGGGATAAACAATTTGAAAACCGGGCTACAATTTGTTCTAACGCAAATGTTTTTGTGCTTCTGGGGGTTCTGTCCACCCCCCCCCCCCTCCCACACCGTTATTAGCTACACTCGCTGTGCTCGCTTTGCTCTACTTAGACCCAAAACATAATGTTTCAGGCAAAGGCGCCGGAAGAGGGGGGGGGGCAAAGGGGGTTGATGCCCATAATAATTCAAGTGAGGTGGTGGAAAAATCAAGGGAATAATCACCTTTCTCGTCTATTTGCGCGTTGTTTATTTTGGGTCGGGGCGGGGAGGCACGTGGGGACAGGGTGGGGGTATTTTCCTTCCCAATTTTAAGCTGTTTTTGTCACATTCAACAGTTTCATTAATATTTTGGGGTTGCCGACATATTTATTTGAGCTGCCTACCCCCCCCCCCCCCCCATGATTAAAAGTCCCTACGACAACGACCTGTACCATTATTATTTGAAACATATTTCAAAATGTGCTTAATTGGTTCTCTTATTTCCGCAGTAGCATGTTTTATTGATAGCAGAGAGTAAATTAAATTAAATTCAATTCAATTCTTTTTATTCATCCAAATTCACAGGAATATATGGAAATTTGTTTTGGTCACACAAATTAATTTAATGTTTCCAGGTCAAAAACACAGTAGGCCTACGTTAGATACGGTTCGCATACACACAAACAAACATATAGCGAACGAGAATCATTGATAAACATTACCAACACATATCTTCTTCCAGTGACTTCAAAAGAAATGTAAGCATTTAGGGTATATTTAATTTTTATTTTTTTAATTCATGTCATAATACAAATCGTGATTAGCAATCAATGGCTGAAGTGTTCACAGTTACGAGCAAACTTAAAAGTACGTAGAATACAATATTGCAAAAAGTACAATTATACACACAACACGGTCAATAACTAATAATCGGGGTTAATAGTCCATTGTGGTTTTAAAAATTCAAGAAAAAACAAAAATAGAACAAACACAAGACGTTATAGTGACGTGTGTTACTTCAAAGAGTGAGTGGAAAGCAAGTAAGGAATGGCTAATAAGCAGAATTATCGAAACAACTTAATATGTTCAAGTCAATTCAGTACCAGATTTATAGGGACCATTCTCTGGAATATCCGTACTTAGACTAAACAGACTATGCTTTACTAGAATCAAAATAACAATTACAATAAAACGAACACATTTTAAACAGACATGCAATGTTTTAAATTGCATTGATAAATTTCCAAATCATGGGTAACAAGGATGTCTTAGATAATGATTCATGATATTTCCGGGGTGTAATTCATAATTTTGGATGAGTTCATTAAAGCTTTGATTTTGAGAAGAAGTTCATGATGGCCTGGGCAAACTCGTCTGATGTCCATCTCTCTGTAATGAGATCACACTCGGCTCGGTTCACCTTGTACAGGCGCTCTTTCTCGGTCTCCCAAATCAGATTCTTGGAAAGTCGCATAGACTGTTGGACCAATAAAGAGAAATTATAAAATAAAGATATAAAACAACAAGTAAATACGACACATACATGGTGGTCTCTAAAGCTATGGTCACAACTCAGAGCGGCGACCGACCGAATAGTAGCCTTCTCGGTCGCCGCCGGAATTTAGGAATCGCCCAACGATTTTTGAAGAAGTCGAGCAGTCTGTAGAGCCCCAGCGATAAATGGCGGTGCCCTGTCGATTTCCCGTCGGTCGCCGGTCGATTTTAGGTCAACATTGGGCGAAATCGGGAAGCTTCTCCGGGCTGCGTCCTGGCAGTGACCGACTGATGACCCACAGATTCCCGAGCGATCTCCCATCAGCCACCGGGTGATTTTAACGAAATTACCCGGCGGCCGGCCGGTGATCGGCGGGGCACCAAAATACGCTCGGTGCCCGGGCGTTCGCCGCCCGGGCACGGACCTAATCGAGCGTTCGCCGTCGAGCGACTTAGGTCAAAAATCGAAGCCGCTAGGTCAAAGGTTGCCGACCGATTTTGGAATCGCCGCCAAGTGACCGACTGATCTCCCAGCGGGGACCGAGCGGCGACCGGGCGGCGACTGCTCAGCAGCCTTTGACCTAGCGTCTTCGATTTTTGACCTGAATCGCCCGACGGCGAACGCTCGATTGGGTCGGTGCCCGGGCGGCGTCCGCTCGGACACCGAGCGTACTTTGGGTGGCGAGTGAAAGTGAGCAGGCGCCGCCCGGATTTTAACTCCGCGCAAAAAACTTCAGCATCGCCCGAGCGATGTCCTAAAAACAAGCGGTGCTTTTGGGTGTTGTGACCTGAAGGTCTCAATATTATGATAGTGGCGATGAGGGCGGCTGGAAGAAAAGTAATATCTAACAAATCGGGGTACGAAAATATTGCACAATTTGTGAAATTCTCTTTAAAATTGAATTTGACCTTTTCTTTGCACTCGAATTTCGCAGGCGAATGTTAATGGCACGATATAAAAATGCATTAAACAAAGGTAATTGTAATGAGAAGGTTTCATTGAAGACATTAATGATATAGATATTACCAATGTCGATAATAATATTACTTACTATAAATTTAAATTCTTTAGATAAAATAATAAAAAGGTACATCATGAAGAATCATCGTGAAGCAGTTACCAAGGCAATATTGATATGTCATTGTTCCTAGAAAATAACCAAATGTTTTGAACAGACCAAGTGTTTTAACATTTCGACTCAGTAAAGAGAATTATATTTAGTTTCACTTTGAGAGAGTGTACTGTAGCACAACAGTCAATTCTTTGACGTGCATAAGGCTACAACTTTTCGTAAAAGATATATAGGCTTGGATTAAAGGTTGCGATTGGGTTTTAGGCTAGATTTATGGTAAGGTTTGGGTATAGGATTTTGTTTGACGTTTAAGTTTAGAATTAGATTAGTGTAGGTTGTCGCCGAAGAATGTGTCATACAACTTAAATTTACATCATTATTTCCCTCATAAATTGGTTAATATTCTACCCTTGATTATACAATTGTGTACATAACATACGTTTCTAGGAAGTTGAGCATATTCCTTGACCTTCTTGTCCACTGTCTCTCTGAACTGAGCATCAGGAATGACCTCTGTGACCAGACCACGGTCAAACGCCTCCTGGGCGGTCAGCTTCTTACCAAATAACAGTATCTCATTCGCCTGTAAAATAACGATGGTAAAGACCCTCAGTGGGTGATAAGTGTAAAGATAAACGTAATCGGGAAACATTATTTAACACGATCTCAAATTCTTTCAAAGAAGCAACCCACGTCACCATCAATAGCCTAGCAAGTCACATTTTGAAATGCGTGAACGTGGTAATGGCATATTACATAATCTATTACAGATTTCTATAGGAAATACAATGGGACCCATCGGGTAATGACATTAGGGACTCTAGGTTTACACGACGAGAACGTGGACCTCTACGTGTGACATCCTTATAAGGCAATGTGACGTCCTTTCAAGGCACATCCCACGGTATACATAGCCTGTAATTATGGATCTATGCAAATATTTTAAACCCACACCACGTCTGTGCCCCTTTCCATAATTTATATCTGTCTCTGTTATGAAAAATAACAGAGAAACTTTTGTACAAGTTTGTACACCATCTAGTACGCATGTATCATTACATAAAGGCATAAGTATATCATTAAGACCTTCCAAGCATCACCAAAATCATCCGTAACTAATTTATCTCACCTTCGCTGCTCCCATAATCTTGGGGAAAGTATAGGAAGAGCATCCTTCTGGACTCTGACCAAGAGCAGCGAAAGGGGTGTGAAATTTTGCCTGAAAATATCAAATGAATTAAAGCTTCATTTAAGTCTTTTCATTTCTTAACTGTTATCCTCTCACAGTATATTATAATTTTTCATCTTGCCAGGTGGGTCAGGTATAGGAACAATAACAATTGTCATAGTTCCATAATCTATTCAAATTTTGACCATTACAGATATCATAGAATCTTCGATGTCAGTACTCACAGCATTCAGAAAATTCGTCCCACCGATACCCATTTAACACTTAGATGAAGAGTGGCAAATGTAGATCAATTTTCTTTTCCAAAAGACACTAATACCACGCCAGGGTTCGAACCCACGACCTTCCCATTTCCAGTCAAGTGTTCCAAGAATGAGGTTGGTTTTTGGCGCCACCAGGATTCGGTTTATAGAATATGAACTTACTCTGTCAGAGGCGAAGACAACATCCATCAGCGCCAATGTAGTTACAGCAATACCAATGGCAGGCCCGTTAACTGCTGCAATCAGAGGCTTCGGGAAATCGATGAAGGCATTTACAAATCTCCTGCCGAGGTAAAGGCCAGAAAATAAGGATTAAAGTTCAGAAGGATTGCAATAATGAAGATAGACAGTAGATGAATGGATTGGTGACTTGTCTGGCCTCGAATCACAATGTGATCTATTGAAGAGTTTTATTTTTATTTAATTCACCAATACAGGATTTATCTCATTCTGAAATCAAACTCTCCTTAAAGCCTCGGTCACAAATGCCAATACGAACTGCTACGAACGCCGTACGAACGTTTTTCAGACAATGGAAATTCGGGAAGACAATGGAAAAACAGGGAGATTCGTACGAAATTATCATTCGTACGAACCTTTATGACCGTAGCATTAGCTAGGCTAAGCATTTCTAAATAGTTTGGTTGCAGAGGCTATTGTGGGCTTTCGAAAATGTTAAATGGGTATATAGTACCCGGTAGGATGCGAAAGTCAATGTGGTTGGATGAGCAAGTGTGCACTTTTAAAATGGCGACTGACTGGAATGCTCCCACGGGAGTGGAGAATGTGCATACATTGTGTGCGGGTGAGCATGAATCAGATAACCCGGGTGGTCTGTACAGCGCTTAGACACGTTATTGATTGATGTATTGGGCGCTATATAAAAGCGGAATATTATTATTATTAAATACTGTACTATGCACAACTTCAAGAGAGTGTACCGTCCCAATCTGAACTGTATACTCACTCTAATAGAAGGCTCTGTTGTTTTGACGCCTCTTCCAAATTAGTGATGTCAACTGTCGTGAAATTCCCAAGATCATTCCCACTACAGTAATAGTCCCCAACACCTTAGGAAAGATAGGAAGTATTTCAAAGAACTTTGACAATTTAATGTATTAGTTTATTTCCTCTACCCATGTTTGTTATCAATCAATCCTAACTAAAACTAACAAAATATATTTATTCATCTCAAATTAATAGTTTACTCATATTAGTGACAAACATAATTTCCACCCAAAATGTATTGATGTTTTGCACTTTGCACTGATTCGTTTGTAGGATTATTTGTGAATTGTACACAATCATACGGATTGGAAATCTCAATTTCTGAAGGAAGAAAAAATAAGTCTGAAAGAAACCGCAAAACATTGTGACCAGTGGTTGCAGAAGAAGAAGAGTGATGAATTTAACAACAATCCCACTTGTAATCATACATGGTTTTTGTGGGTAATTAAATATTATTAAAGATGAGGGGAAGGGTATAGGGAAAACATGGAGGAAAAGGGGATGTTGGTAATGGTGATGGGCAAGAATGGAAATGAAGATTTATCTTCTTGCACGTCTTCAATGTCTTTAAATATTACGCAGAATTGGAAAGTAAGGTTAGGAAGACAGGGAGGTAGAAGAGGAAAATTAGATAGTAGAAGTGGTAGTGGTAGTGGTGGTAGTGGTAGTGGTGGTATTGGTAGTGGAGGCGATTGTCATGTATGCGGGAATAGAACAGTTTAAACTTCCTGCCACAGGTGAGTTCGGTTTGAGTTTGGAAGCAAAGACAAAATCCTCATTAACTGCAAACACATTTGACACCACAGCATGGAAAACACGATTCCGCACAAAAAATGTCACAAAATGCCATCGGACGTGCATAACAAGGTTCATACTTATCTAATGTAGAATATTGGCATTGTTTTGTAGACATTTCTTAGATTCCAATCAATAATCTCCATAGAAAGTTTCTGATAGTAGTTTACCCACCATAATTATAGGTTCGTGAGAAAAACAGCAACATGGTAAAAGTAATGCAGCTTAATAATCGTATGATCACAACACCATTATTATACCATTTGTTAGATAATGATTGAGATTATCTGTAGATAATTGATTACATCATTTTGAAAGGAGGATAATGAAAAGTCTACGAATTACGGTGCAGTTATCTGAAACTGGTCTCTATCATATCGTTCTTAATAAAAAACGACATTAGCATCAAATGTTAATATATACCCCTTTTATGTCAAAGTTTTACATGGTTTAAAACTCATAATATATTACTAACCTGTGATTACGGCAATGACTACATTATCATCTTGCCCTGCTGCAATGAGAGCACCTTGTAGATCAAGGTACATCTTTAAAGAAACATACATTGTGATGAAAGCACTGTTAGAAACTAGTCGAATTTAGCCGATAATGTATGACTTGATATTTGTAAGAACTTTGTTTAATCTGTAGTCAAACGAAAATGTCATATCTTTATATCAAATACGATGTTTGTGCACTTTTTCATGGTAGCTCGGGTAAAGCTGGGGTAAAAATATGATTGCAGGGCTCTCAGGGAGAAAAATATTAATACCGATAAGGCTACCCTGAGTAAACAAGAATACTTATCAATATTATTATCATTATCATTATCATTATTATCACTAATATTATTATTATTATCATTACCATTTTCACACAAATTCTGGCGCAGAGATAATTAAATCACAATGCTCTAGGTTAAGGTGTGGATGGGTTTTTCCACAGAGTGGGATATCAACGGCTGCATTCAATATTTAAACATTTAAGTGGAAATCATCAGACTTCCTTTTTTCTCCCTAACCCTTCTCTTCTTCTTCTTCTTCTTACATATACACACATACCACATAAACATGAGCTCTTCCAACCCCCTCTCTCCCTCTCCCTCTCTCTCCCTCTCTCTTTCTCTCTCTCACTCACTCACTCTCTTCTCCACAAACATACACATATGCATGCCCACGCAAACACACATCCATCCCCCATCTCTCTCGCTCCCTCACCCTCCTCTCTTCCTTCCCTCTTCCCATCTATGCTTTATCTCATTCATATCTACTTCCCGTCTCTGACCTGTGGTGTGAAAGCATTTTTCTTCTTTGGTCTGTTGAGTGTGATGGTCGCTATTCCATTCTCCACACGATACAGAATACCTTTCGAGGTTCTTCCGACATTCATTTTGCTGCCTCTTGCTGCTGGATCGTTCTTTACTTCTCCATCCTGAGAAAATAACATACATGCCAGTGAGAGAGTATGCATATTATAATTTAAATAATTTATATATTAAAGTCCCCGAGGGTACACAGATAAATTTCTTCTCTCAAGTCATGTTTATGTCTTAACGAATTAGGACTGGAATTCTTAAATTTCATGGGTTAATAATATTAATTCATTAACAGCAACTTTGACCCTAACAAAGCTGTAAAACAAACAACAAAATTTTTGAGAAAGGTATACTGGTCCCATAAGCGAATATTATAGAAAGGTGCAGAATTTGTGTAACTTTCATCCAGAAAAACAGAGAAGACATTAATCATCTTTTTTTTTTTTAATACAAGGATAGAGACGAATATTTAACCCCCGTATGGATATTGAATGACGACACATGGTCCGGCGTCAATTATCCTCGGTTGCCAATTTCCTTCATTAACCGAGTTCCTAACCCCAAACACTATACCATACCATAACATGGATCTCCGGGATGAATCTATCAAGGTATCTTCTCCCAGCTCGGAGGTTGTTAGCAGTTTTCCACACGTCTCTTTTCTCTGCCAATCTAGTACACTCTTGCAGTGTCATTCTAATCCATAAATGCATTTCTTCCCCTAGAGTTGGTACATTATACTTTTCACAATACCATAATCCAAACGTTGACCCAAACTAAATCAACATTCCAACCTTAAACCTTTTCCCCATAGATTTAACGAAATATTCCCCGGAGCTGAGCAAGTGCCTGATCACCCACATACCACCTCCTCCTCGGTGGTTTCCTCTGCCGTGCATGAGAACATACCTGTGTCATGATTTTCTGAATTCTATGGCTCCACTAATCCTTGCTCGATGTGAAAATGTAGGCTTATATCAAAGAATATCAGGTGAAGTATTATGCTATATCTACCCCGGTGTTGCCCGCAAACATATTAATAGTGTTTATGGAAGATGAAACCTCAACAATGTGTATTACTCGTCGAATAGACTGTTTATTCACCCTGGATTTTGTATGCCAGGAGACTTTATAGCTGATAACAATATAATTGTATCACTTGACCCGTACTCTGACCATGGACGGTCCACGCTCTGACACTGTGTTAAGTTTGGTCTAAAGTAAACTTAAAGTAAACTGTCGAGGTCAAGTATTTCCTTTATCAAAAAATATTTGGCACCAAAATTAACTGAATACGGATCGGGCGTTTGGGTTTCCTTTTGTTTTGTTTTGTTTTGTTTTGTTTTGTTTTGTTTTGTTTTATTGTTTCGCATTCCACAAAATAACAGTTTACATATTATTAAGTTCAGCAAGATAAAGTATATTGACAAACAAAAACAATGATGACAGTAAATAATCATTAACGACGTGAAATATGAGGAACCTAATACAGGTATGTGGTTACATAAAGTCATAATAGTCACTCGAGCGAGGCGCAAAAAAGAAGAAACAAAGACATAAATAAATGAAAAATAACGACAACGTGCCTTATGCGTATGATTTCAAGAGAAAGTCTTTGATTTTACGCTTGAATGAATACAGCGAGGGTGATTGAATAGACCAGTTCACGGTTAGCACATTACTCTAATGAACCCGGATATCCACAGATCTTAAAAACATGAAGAGGTCCCATTTTTTACATTTTGAAATAATCACTCCTACAGAGATGGAGGTGCTATATAAAGAGCCTTTGTTTCCCCCTTTTCAAAGTATACTTCCACCTATGTATCATGGCGTACACTGAATGTGCATGAATCAATAATGTTACATAGCTTTCATGAGCACGTATCCACATTTCGTCTCCCGTGTATTTCAAAATTTGTTCTGCAATGACCTTTATCTGCTCATGCTCAGACTGCGACCGTGAACTGGCTTATTATCTCAGCGTCCAAACTGTTCCAAAATGAAGGTCATGTGTTGGTTATTGTTTTAAAGGCAAGAACGGTGCGTACGGGGGATAGATGAAAATTGAGGGATTGCCTGGTGGGATAAGAATTAATGTCACTATTTTTTTAAAAAAATCGTCTATATTAAGTTCAAACATAAATATCCCTACAAATATAGTTCTGTTACTTTCAATAACTTGTAAGAAAGAAATAATGGATTTGTATGTGCCAAAACATCGGCAGAAGAAATAATCCTTACAGCTCTTTTTTTTTGTATTTTGAGTATGGAATCAATTTTCGTCTTGGAAGAATTACCCCCAAACTAATATTCCGTAACTTAGGTATGGTAATAATAACGTAAAATATAATCATTTCAAAATATGGGGAGGAAAATGATGTTTGAGTTTATTGGTAGCTCCTAGATTTCTTGAAAGCAATTTTCATAAGTAGTCGATATGGACTTTCCATGTTAATTTACAATCAATATTAAATATAAAGACCAATAATTTTGAAGAGTCAATTTAACTCATTGCCATTCATGAAAACATCGCCAGGTAAAGTATGCAGTGAATCACTAAAGACCATGTAATTTGTCTTTTTGAAGTTAAGAGATAACTTATTTGGTTGAGTCCAATCGCATACAAATCGTAATTCAGAATTTAATTTATCAAGAAGGATTTGAGGATTATCGTGAGTAAAAAATATGCTTGTATCATCTGCAAATAAAAGAAAAGAAAGTTTATTAGAAGAGTTTTGAAAATCATTGATGTATAATATAAAAAGAAGTGGGCCCAAAAGGGAACCTTGAGGTACATCGCAAGTGATGTGTTGAGTTTTAGAATTTAAATTATGAATAGACACAAATTGATTCCTGTTTGCAAGATAACTTCTGAACCACTCCAAGGCCCTTCCACGAATTCCATAGTAAGAGAGTTCATATAAAAGTATTTCATGGTTAATCGTGTCAAAGGCCTTGGAGAAGTCCGGAAAGATACCAGCAACGTGAGACCTCTTATCAATTGCCTTAGTAACTTTATCTATTAATAATATTATTGCATGCACAGTTGACTGTTTTTTACGAAAACCGAACTGGGAATTGATGAAAATATTAATTGGTGAGAAACTTTATAGTGCGAGAATAAATTATCTTTTTCGAGGACTTTTGAGAATGAAGTCAACAGTGATATTGGACGATAATTACCTAATTCATCCTCTGAACCTTTTATGTAGATGGGTATTACTTTAACGACCTTTATTTTATCAGGGACAACACTAGACAGCAAGGACAAAGCTAATGAAGATATCAATAGAAATTGAATTATTCTTATTTTCATTTAAACATTCTTAAGACAACCGTTTAATCAATACATTAATGATTTGATTGATCAAACAATTTATTGTTCCATTCTAATAGTGAATCATAAATACAGAAAAGCAAAGCGGATTAAAATTATTTTGAATAGATTCTTTTCAATAATATATAGATGAACTAGAGGGAAAATACCAACAGATTGTAACAGTAAGTACCTCATTTAATCATTGCCTACAAGTAGACGCTAGCAATCATTAACTAAAAATCAAAAATTGCCAGACTTGGTAAGTCCAAAGAGCATTACTTCATATCTACCTTATAGTCACGACAGCGAGATATCAAAGTAGAAAAAGAACAGTGTATTGACATGGATAGTGCTACTTTGGAAATGTGAAGGAAATTCTTTCAAATTATTTAAATCACATTTTTTTCTACTCTCCATAAAATTGTTTTGGTTCCTTAGATGTATTGTCTAGAAAATAATCTGTAACAAGAACACGAAGGATGTGTATGGATGTTAATGACAGCCATGATGTGATCATTAGATTTTTACTACATGTTTCACTCAAATCCATTTGTTCCCTCAGTATACATGGTATATAATTTTCGTCATAATTACCTATCTTTCTTTCTTTTCCCTTATATTTTGGTTGTCCGCCCATCTCTCTTTCTCTCTCTCTCTCTCTCTCTCTCTCTCTTTCTCCCCCCTCTCTCTCTCTCTCTCTCCCCCCCTCTCTCTCTCTCTCTCTCTCTCTTTTTTTTCTTCTCTCTACCCCTAATTCTGTCCATTCAGAAATGCATGGTATTATGCTCTGTATCTGACCAGGTGACGATACTATGGTTCTAATCATTCACATACCCTTGGCCTTTAAACCTACAGAAAACCCTTATAAACACTGCACATAATGTATACGCTCCCCTCCCACTCTCTTTCTTTCCCTCTGTTTTTGTTTAACACGTACTTTATATTGGCACACCATTCTTTGTTCAAATTTGTACTCTTGCAGCATTTTCGATTTTTCTTCCATTTCTTGCATACGGATAATCATCAATTAATTTACAGTAACACGTTCTACTTCTAAGACTTTATGTTTGACACGATTGAAGAGACTTTTGAAAAATCAACCATGAATCAAACATGATTTCTGAAGGCAATACAATAGGGTATTGGAATTTCATGTAAGCCGTTTTCTTGAAAATACTTGTGATCGAACTATTGTCTAAATGGTACAGCACCTAAGCATAGCATTGCATTACGAAATAATTTCTGATATCTAAGCTTATTTTATAGACTCAATAATGATAAATCATTCATATTATGTCTAACGAGCTTTTCCTATCCTAAGAAAGTTAAAAGAATACCCAACTCATAAATGGTAGTTTTGTCAATATTTTATGTACTAAAGTACTACTTGTAATTAACGGGCATAAACAATTTTATGCTAATGGTAACCGTCAGATAAGGTATTGCTACTTAAGACAGAATATTGTTCCAACCGTAACGTTCATCTCATTGGCGCACAATTAAGTTGACAACAATTCAATCACGTATGGTCAGCGTTCTATTACTCACTGTGAAGACAAATATACCATGGAAATAGGTCAAAAAGAGACCATTAATACCATGTTTTGATAATTCTATATTTTGCATATTTTAAAGATATTCTGACTGGTTTTGATAAAGTAGCATTTGTAAAAGTTAATTTTTGCATCACCATTTTTTAAATGAAAAATACTTAAGAATATATATCTTCAAAATTTAAATTTAAAAATTTAAAAATAAGTATTTAGATAATAAAAAGCGAAAAAAATTAATAGAATCAGGACATATTACTGAAAAAAAAAACAGTGGCACACTTGCTTATAAACTTTTTTTGCAATATACTGTTGAAAATGTTCTTCCTTTTTTGCTCTTCATTCCATCTTGCCCTTCTTCTCATTACTTTTCTTATAACAATCCATTTGAATATCGATGTCGTCATTCCCGTATATTTACATCCTGCATATTCTATATAAAGGTAAAACTGTTTGAATACATCAACGAAATGATTTATCGAATCGATTTGCTTTTAATTATTTAATAATTTATTATAGCTCGTGGCTTTAACCATATTTGGAGGAAGTCATTTAAATATGTGAATGGGACAAGGTGGGCAGTTTCAACTTGTCGCTCTCCTTCTTCAAGCCGGGTCCATCCAAGCCTGGGACAGTCAAAGTGAAATTCCCTCGAACAGAAGTGAACGTCTGACCGATGGACTGGAAGAGGGGGTCCAGAGAGGACCGGAGCACACCCCTAGCGAGTACCTCCACGATCCTACAAGCCTGTAGGATGACCTTAAGAGCGGGATTGACCAACCAGACCAGGATGAAGTTCATGATGGCGAAGACCAAACCCCAAGCAATGCCCAAGATGGGACCAAGGAGTGCGGAGAGGAAGATGTAAAATCCCCTCTGTTTCAAAATAAAGGGATTAAAACATTGTCGTTTGTCGTGTTTTGAGGAGGCAAAACGGTTTAAATCAGTTAATAGTGTTTAATGACTCAGGCGCGGATCCAGGATTTCTTAGGGGGGGGCCCAAATTTGAAATTTTGCGAGCCAAATATTGGTACGTAATGGTGACCAACCGTGACGTAATGCGGGGGGGGGGGGTCGGTGCAGGGAGGGGCGATTTTCCCCCTCCCTCCTCCGCGAAACGCGGAAGCTTTGACGTTTCATTAAATTATTAGAGAAAAAAGACGATTCGTTGTACCGTTTTCGAAAATAATTCTCGTCTGAATTTAGTTTTCCCCCTCCCGCGCGAAGCGCGGAAAATTTTACGATTTATTAAATTATTAGAGAAAGAAGACGATTCGTTTCGAGTTCTCGACTCTTAATCCTCGTCTGAATTTAGATTCTCCCCCAACCCCCTCCTCCCGCGCGAAGCGCGGACGCTTTTACGTTTCATTAAATCATTAGAGAAAATAGACGATTCGTTGTACCGTTCTCGAAAATAATCCTCATCGGAATTTAGTTCCCCCTCCATCCCGCGCGAAGCGCGGAAGCTTTTACCTTTCATTAAATCATTAAAGATTCGTATTACCGTTCTCGCCTCTGAATCCTCGTCTGAATTCAGGTTCCCCCCTCCCTCCCCTCCTGCGCGAAGCTTTGACGTTTCATTATATTATTAGAGAAAGAAGACGATGCGTTGTACCGTTCTCGATTCTTAATCCTTGTCTGAATTCAGTCCCCCCCCCCCCTCCCCTCCTGCGCGAAGCTTTGACGTTTCATTATATTATTAGAGAAAGAAGACGATGCGTTGTATCGTTCTCTATACTCTTAATCCTTGTCTGAATCAGGGGCCGTCTTAGGGCCCCTGGGGGGGGGTCGAGGCGGCGGAGCCGGCCCCGGAAGCTCAGGGGTTTTAGGCGTTTAATATTAAGGTCAGATGAACATTTTTTTTGTATACCTTATTATTTTGTGAGACTGGCACGTCACTATTTGGCGTGGGGTCCAGGGGGCGGAGCCCCAAAATATCAGGGGTTTTAGGCATTAAATTACCGTCAGATGAGCATCTAAGGGCCCACCGTAGGGCCCTAGGTGAAATCCAGGGGGCAGAGCCCCTGGAAGCTTAGGGGTTTTAGGCATTAATCACGGTCAGATGAGCATATTTTGATGCCTCATTATTTTTCAACACTGGCAGTTAACTATTCTTTCTTTCTTGCTCTCATTCTATTTTATTTCTCTTTAATATACTTTTTCAAAAAGTAGGGGGGGGGGCTCGGGGCTCCCGATCCCCGCCGTACCTCGGGCCCTGACAAGTAGGAATCAACTAAAAAGTGAGGAAAAATCTCGGAAATTATGTCATTTCAGCATTATTTGTAATCCACCGTTGTGGAATTAGAAATAAACCACGTTTGAATTTGATTTCCCCCAAGCCCCCCCCCCCTATCAGTACGCCAGTATCTCCTCTTTTCCTTTTTTCTTTCCCTTTCCTTCCTTCTCTCTTATTTTTTTGATTGGGGGGGGGGGGGGGTCAACAGCCTGGGAGGCAAGGCCCTTTCGCCTTCCCCAATCTCCTTCTTCCCCCTTTTCTTTTCTTCTTCCTCTTCTTTCTTTCCCTTTTTCTCTTCTTTCTCTTTCCCTTCTTTTCCTTTCTTCTCTCTCTTTTTTTTTTTTTGCGGGGGGGGGGGGCCAAGGCCCGCTCGGCCCCCCCCCCTGGATCCGCGCCTGTAATGACTAACTGGAAGAAATGCACTTGCTTTTCGAAATCATTTTTTTTTTCTCACAATATCAGGAATGTAACAAACATTGAAAACAATTGTAGGCGTTATGATAACTTTGAACTTGGAAAATTCGAATTTAATCAGCAAAATTATATCACGCTTAATTATTGACACAATAATGTATGTTGTGCAAAATTGTTATGCTTTCTTTCGTCTGTAATTGTTATTGAAGATTCTTTGACCTAAAAGGCTTAGCTAAAACATATTTTAAGAACACCCTGACGAAAGCTGGTTCGTGTTGGGAGTTTTAATCAACACAGTACAACAAAAGTTATTTATCAAGTAAGTTTCTGACAGGTTAGCCTACACGGTAAAATTTAGTTATACATTTAACGTAAAATAGAATTGATGGAAAATTCTGATTTCCCCTTTGAATAAGAAGAAACTCACCGATGTCCAATTGAAGATGACCTTGTTGTAATTCCAGACAACACTCACATTTTCTGAACCAAGTGGCTCTTGAAAGGTCTCCTCAAAATCAACCTGAAATAGACCGTTTTTGATTTCAAGAAAATTCATTATTGATGGATTTCATATATTTCCACGTAATCATTTTTTAAAGTTTTCAGTACAATATCTTCAACATTATTAGTTTATAAATACATAGGAAATATAGCAAAATAAGTTTGTTCGTTTAAGTAAAGAACTTTTAGCTTTTCTTTGAAGCAACTTTGTGATATTCATGTTTTGATTGTTCAGATACCAATTTCCTCATTTCAAACACTAGGTTTCAAAGCGACAGGAGCATTGAAATAAAGTGAATATTCATCAAAGTCATATCTAAACAAAGTTACGTATCTAGAAATTCATACACATATAATGATAATGGCAATAATAATATTAATGATAATAATAATTGTTCCACGTTTTCGAAGCAGCCACTGTAAAAACGTTGACGGTAGATTAGAATCTGGATTTGGTAATAATCAGTTTATATTTGTCAGTTGTTGAGCGATCGTTACAAGCTGGCGCATATATTTGGGGGTGTCATTAAGATAATTAACTGTCATATGATTTAGAATTTTGAAGAATTACAAGCAGACTTTAAAAAAAGGTAAGAGGACACTTTTTTTTTTTTTTTTTGGTATCGAAATTTGAAAATTTGACATTTTGCTCCGTTGGGAGGGGGGGGGTAAGGTCATCTTTTTGAGGTCGGCCATGGGAATATTTTTTTTTTTTTAATTAAAAAAAAAAAAAAAAAAAAAAAAATATCTAAAAGGGGTGGGTTTTAGGGAAATTTACCAAAGGGGGGGTTTAACCCCCCCCCCCCCTGTGTACGCGCCTGAGGACAATAGTAGCATTACTTAATGAACAATAACACATGTCATGAAGCTGTGAAAGAGAGGATGAATGAACACCTTATTTTAAATTCTCACCTTTACATTTGGCTTGAGAGAGTACAAGTTCATATCGTCATACTTTGCCGTATTTGGTGCTCGCTCTAAGGCTCCATGACAACATGGTCTAGCTTGGGCCTGGGCCTGATAGCCCGAGGTATTGTTGTTGTAGAGGGGGTAATACTGGCCACCCTGAGAAATCAAATAAGTCGTGGCTGGAGTACCAACCAAGTGCTCATTCTGAGGTGGATTGTCCTCCATAGTAGAGTTGACAGACATGGCTGAAGTTGGCTGTTCCTGCTAAAAGATAGGGAACGCCATAATTCGTTAAACCCTATGATTTTTAAGGCAAATCAATAAAGATGTTACATAAAATGCGTAAATAAGCATGATTGAATAATTTTATTTTCCATGGCTTGATTTTAAAAGTATCTCATAATGAAAGTTTTGGAGAATCAAATGCGACTTACCGAAACTATAATGAAGACAAGAAGACGACACAAAGCAGAGTGTAGCGGATCGCTTATATCTCTAACCTCTCTCTCATCATCAACGCGGATTTTATCACCAAACAAAGATCCATTTACGTCATACGAATCAACTAGTTCACAATAGGGTTTTGGTAAATCTATGTCAGCGAGTAATTAACCATGTTTTCGAACTAGACCAGAGTTGTTTGCATAGTTGTGTAATAAGGAGTAGATTTTCGAGACAAAGATAAATGAACAAAATATGTATAAATTAATGGCAACTTGACTTATAAACATTTGAATATTTCCCCTATAGAATAGAGCCCAGGTACCCTAAATACTAAGTGGAACGGACCCATTACCTCTGTCACCTTAAATAGATTTTTTTGGACGAATCCAAACATGTATGCATGTACTTTGTTTCGGTTTTGCAAGGGGAAACAGAAATGTAAATATATGATTGACGCCGAAACAAGGAGCAAAGATCTATTAGGTTTATGCCCGATTAGAGGGAGCTCATTAGCATATTTAACCTATAATTGACGAAGATTAAATCAACATGATATGTTTAATGGATTTCATTCAGAATCAATCTTGGGTTATTGTTCTTCGTGTTAATTCTGCTACAACAAAAATCAATGAATAATAGAAACCATCTTTTTATCAAAACGGATAGCATGGCTTTTACTTGCGATAAAGTTATGAGTATTTGATGTGTAGATATTAATATGATATGGGTAACGACACACCCATCCACACGCCCAAAAATGTACACACGAACATACATATGCCCCCCCCCCCCCCGGGGGGGGGGGGTAAGAGCATCTTTTTTGGGGGGTCCAATTTTTTAGGAAAAATTTATCGGCGACTTAGCCAGTCGGTGAATAAGCAATAAGCGGGGGGGGGGGGGGGGGGGGGGTAAGAGCACTATTTTTGCCTTTTTTTTTTTTGACCGGGGGGGGGGGCAGGCCCGTCGCCCCCTGGATCCGCGCCTGCCCATATTATACAATAGTATTCAAGGCACATGGATCGAATTGGGTTTAATAACTGAACTTTGGCAATTCAAAACGTTTCTCTAGATAACTCCAGTGATCTTGCTGCATTTAATGTATGTCTCGTTACAATTTAGATTCTCAACAATCGTAAAACCCAAATATTTGTCAGACCTAGTGACATTCAAATCTTGTCCATTAATGAAAACAGAATGACAGAGATACTGAATACCATCAATTTTAAATAAATGTATTTGATATGATATAAAAACAGAAAATCATTAGTAACACTGATTATTTTCACCGATTTGTAATTGATTGATAGAGATTAATAATTTTAATCATGATCAGGCCTACAAAGCAACCTCACTGTATTCGTGGCAACTAAGCCAGTCTGGTTGTAATTTGAATGATTGCTCTGTGAAAATTGTTAAGATTGCACTGAAAACAGTAGAAACAAGTGGGAAGAACAAAAAAGGAAATGAACCAGTTAACCAGTATATTTCTATTTTCGGAGAAATAATCGTTAAAAATACGCCCCAAAAAATACCTTGGAAAAATTTCTGACATTTGGTTCTGTTTTGAAAAAAAACACTCACTATTTCTCCAGCGACTCAACCTCTTTCGCTCCAACTATCTCTCTTCTTCACACCGACTTGTTAAACTTTTTCACTTCTCTCTTCTCAACTGATTAATTTGTTCATAAAAAACGGTTATATTCTGTTTTATTTCGTTGTTGCTGGTTGGATAGTTATATTTCTGCAGTCACATTTACACACAATTTAACACCATTCCTTTTAGAAACTGCTCCCAAAGACTATGATAGTAAGCGACAAAGTAAGCGACAAATTTCATTCTAGTTTCATAATTTCTTGTTTACTGAATTATATATTTTTTTTAAATCGTCGATGAATTATTCCACTATCCTTATCTAACAGTTTCATTCACTTTGAAGAATTAGAATAAAATCATTTAGCAACAACATCAGTACGTAAAAAGTGAATACTTAGTAATAACAATAGTTGAATACAATCAAATAATATCAAAGAAGGTGGATTTATATAGCGCATATTTAATTGAAGAGTCTCTTTAGGCATATCAAAATGTAATTACAACAAGGACAAAGTACAATTCAATGGCTACAAAGTCTAAAACCTTGGCTTCGTATTAAATAATCATGTGATAAACTGCATTACGATATAAATAATGCAAATAATAGAGGCCACAAGTCACACAAACAATATTGCAGTAACTGTTTAAAAAATATATACAAATTTGATTGCATGAAATGAGTAAATCTACCATAAAAACAAAGGCAATTTCACAAGGGAACCAAAAGTAAAAACACAGGTCAGTGGCGGATCCAGGGGGGGGGCCGAAACGGCCGCGGCCCCCCTATTGGCGGCGTAAAGAAAAAAGAGAAAAAAAAAGAAAGGAGAAGAGAAGAAAAAAAGGAGAAGAGAAAAGAAAGGAGAAGAGAAAAGAAAAGAGAAGAGAAAAGAAAGAAGAGAGAGAGAAAAAAAAGGAGAAAAGGATTCAGCTCATACCAACTCGCTTGTGCTTATATCTGAACTCATGTTGGTAGTAATCATGGACAGGGGCGGCGATCCTGGGCCCGATAGAGGGACACGTCCCCCTGGAAATTTAGATATATAGCTAGAAAGAAATATACATGTAGCAGAAGGAACGTAAATATTGGGCTTAGGGATTTTCTAGAATGCATAATTTCAGCATTCTACATTGCAAAATCTCGCTTGGTCGCTACGCCCCGGCCCTCGCCCGATAACACAAAACTATGATATGACGCTCCCGGTCGTGGATATTCCATGGTTGGTGTATAATTCTAGTAGATATTTTTCCCTCTTTCATTTCTACTGACCTAATTGTGTGCTATCACAATCATGATTGTTTCATTTTCCCTTTAAATCATGCGTAGCTAGGAGCGGTAGGGGCAGTAAGAGGACATAGGACGAAAAAGGACCAGACAAAGAAACACTTTTTTAAATTCTGACAAGTCGAGAACGGTACAACAAATCGTCTTCTTTCTCTAATAATTTAATGAAACGTTAAGCTTCTGTGCTTCGCGCTGAATTCAGAGAAGGATTAAGAGTCGAGAATAGAACAACGAATTATCTTCTTTCTCTAATAATGTCATTAAACTATGAAGGTCAAAGCCTTCGCGCCTCGTGCGGAAGGGGAAATTAATTCAAATAAGGATTAAGAATCGAGAATGGTGACAACGAATCGTCTTCTTTCTCTAATAATTTAATGAAACGTCAAAGCTTCCGCGCTCAACGCAGAAGGGGGAAACTGAATTCAGAAAATGATTAAGAATCGAGAACGGTACAACGAATCATCATCTTTCTCTAATGATTTAATGAAACGTCAAAGCTTCCGCGCTTTGTGCGGGAGGGGGTTGGGAAACTGAGTCCAGACAATGATTAAGAATCGAGAACGGTACAACGAATCGTCTTCTTTCTCTAATAATTTAATCAAGCGTTAAGCTTCTGCGCTTTGCGCTGGAGGGGGGAAATTGAATTCAGACAAGGAATAAGAGTCGAGAATGGTACAACAAATCGTCTTCTTTCTCTAATAATTTAATCAAGCGTTAAGCTTCTGCGCTTTGCGTGGGAGGGGGGAAACTCAATTAAAACAAGGATTAGGAGTCGAGAATGGTACAACGAATAATCTTCTTTCTCTAATAATTTCATTAAACTATGAAAGGTCAAAGCTTCCGCGCTTTGCGCGGGAGGGGGGAACTGAATCCAGACAAGGAATAAGAGTCGAGAATGGTACAACAAATCGTCTTCTTTCTCTAATAATTAATGAAAGGTCAAAGCTTTCGCGCGGGAGGGGGGGGGGAACTCAATTCAGACAAGGATTAGGAGTCGAGAATGGTACAACAAATTATCTTCTTTCTCTAATAACTTCATTAAACTATGAAAGATCAAAGCTTTCGCGCTTCGCGCGGGAGGGGGAAAACTGAATTCAGACAAGGAATAAGAGTCGAGAATGGTACAAAAAATCCTCTTCTTTCTCATGAAACATCAAAGCTTCTGCGCTTCGCGCGTAATCGGGGGGGGGGGGGGGGGGGGGGGGGGGGGGAGGGGGACCTTGAGCTGCCCGAATATGAATTTTGTATATCTTTTTCTCGTATATATTTTGGTGATAAATAACACTTTCACAAAATACATATTATCCTCAAATTTTTGCTCGCTCGCTTCGCTCACTAGCCGAATTGTGAAACCAGAAAATTACCTTTTCGGGTAAGAGGCTTCAGCCCTCCCCCCCCCCCCCCCCCGATGAAAATGTCAAAAATTGTACCGGTATGGTGCTTCTAATATGACCTTGTCAGTATTGGTATGTTGAGTTGAAAAACGGTCTGCGCAATTTTCAAATTTCCGGCCCCCCCCCCCCCCCCCCCCCCATTAGAAAATCCTGGATCCGCGCCTGCCCCACACTTGACTTATTCTATCATATCTGATTACGTTTTCATCTCTAAGGTTCATATGTATATGAGAGATTCGAGTCATGTGCACTGATAAAGATTTGGGATTTTTAAAGGAACAGCCATTTGTTCTATTACTAGAGGGTCATCAAAATAACATATTCTCTTTTCATGAGAAACAATGCATTTAAAAAAATTATTTGGTAACACATTTTATCATCATTTGAAAAAATAGTGTGCAAACATTCTAGATATAACCAAAGAAATTGCTAGAACAGTTACACCGAGGACAATTAATAATCTAAAATAAACGCACTAGGAAAAACAGATTGGGGGCTTTGTCCCTTCCTAGTTTCTGGAGTGAGATTCTTTAATTTTCTGAACATTTTGATACGGCCCGAAGATCAATATATGAAGCATATCTTACTACATGACCCGGTCCTGCTATTCAGAAGGAGGAAGAAAACAAATATGAAAGAAGTAACATATTTGCCCGTGGATCGATCGTTCCTAAGCTCTTCTTTGGTTATTCATTATTCCTTCAGTATTATTTTCGCCAACGTCTTGCTTAGTTTTAAACATTTCATTTGTTTTCCAAATCTAGGAGTAGGCCTATGTTATTTCCAAGTCATTTAAAATAAAAAATGTCTCAGCAATAACATTAACTGTATATTCTTATCACATTCTTTCAATGTTCATTCATCTTTTGATAAAAGTATGTACTGTTGCTCCTATGTAACAAGCGAGTATCAATTCCAATCATATAATTTCTGCTATGATCTAATGATTATTAATTTTTAATAGTTATGATTATTGTATTTTCATATTCTTTGCTATGTATGGTCCGGTAGCGTATCAAACTGCTTGTAACACTTGCATCTCAAAGAAAGTCATGTATACAAACTTTTCGAATTCTTTCTTAAAGAACGAAAAAAAGATATGTTAAAATTTGGTTCTGAATCTATATTACAAGCGACATGACATACATGTACTTGTTATTTCCCTTCTTTATGTAGCTACTGTGTGTTTATATATATCTCACTGCTGAGCACATCTCCTTGTGTATCTCTCCATGTCAGTCTCTCTCTCTCTTCCTTTCCCTCTTTCCTTTTATTTCTATTTCTCTGATTCTCTTTCTGTCTGTCTGTCCCTCTCTTTCCAGCTTTTCCCCGTCTATCCCTCATTTAAAGTTGTACCTCAATGGTCAGTACCTTAATCCTTTCAACTTCAAAGCTGATATACTCATCCTTGGTAATACACACATGTATCTATTCATACAAAGCAGTAGCAAAAACCAAGATTGCATTATATGTTTTATTCAAATTATCAAGCATAACAATATAAATAAACAATTCATTATTGCATAATATAAGTGTGTAATTTTTCTTCATTTGAATAACACTATTCTGTTATACAGAGGAACAAATCATCCAATTTCAAAAGAGAAATCCTATGTCTAGCTGTATGGGCAATGGCAATGATGCTCCAACACATTTCTAAACATGAAACCTAAACTCATCAAAACATTACGGCTGTCAAGTACCATCGAGCAAAAATGACAGGCCAGTAGTTTTTCTTTGTACTGAATTACTGCTTGGTTTAAGCAAACCTTCTAAATATCATTATCATTTTTCCTTTGCCATCAACACTCCTTTGGTCAATTGTGTTAACAACACAAAATAAGGTGTGTGCTGGTATAAGAGAGTGTTTTCTGTGGAAAACTACATTTGCTTCCCAATGATAAAAGTAAGAGAGAAATAAAAAGGGTTCAGGTTCCTTCCTACTTTCTCTAGAAATAAGCTCTTGTGCCAAAACAGTCACTTTCTGGAGCTCGGTTTTGTGCATGATATGAACATTTTTCTCTATTAAGGAAATGTGGATTATACAGTACCTGGCCGATTGTATCAGTTGCAAAGAAATCGGGTGCCTTGTGTAAAATGATCACATATATCTAGCACCTTAATGATTTTTTTATTAACTATCTTGCAAAAAATCTTGTAAAACAAGTGTTTCCAATGCCCTCTGCTATTGTTATGTCTAATGGAATGATTATAGGCACTACATGTAATTCACTAGTAGTGGGCAATATTTAAGCAAAACATTTGTTGTTGTTGTCTTTTTTTGGATTTATAGCCTCATAAAAACTATAAAAACAAAGAATTAAGAAAGTTAATACAGTACGAAGATAATTCCTCTTAATATTCTTTACTCTTTACTTTTATATCCCAGACCAGAACTTACAGTAAGAATTATAACTAAATTTGAGAAAAATATAAACATACAAAAGCTGTATGAAATGTGTTAAATCTGTCATCCCTTTGAATTACTCTTTTAAATAAGACTTTGAGAACTGCTTATTCCTACGATGAAAATTGATATTATAGGGATATTAGCATTATCTTTAGAGCTTTGATTTTGAGAAGTAGTTCATTATGGCCTGTGTGCATTCGTCTGATGTCCATCTGTCAACAAGGAGATCACACTCGGCTCGGTTTACCTTGTGGAGGCGCTCTTTCTCGGTCTCTCGAATTAGATTCTTGGCAAGACGCAAAGCCTGCAAGGACAGGAAACATGAACACACGTAATACCACTGAAAAGATTGGTTACAAGAACACATGGTGGTCCAGTATGTGCTACGGTGACAAACACCTCAGGCTTTTTTTCTTCAAAGATACATAGAAGTGTCGACATAATGGATATTTTCAATTAAATTTGTTTTTATCCATCAATGGCACAAATAGAGAAATAGACACATTTTGGGGGTAATTATTGCATTTTCTGCTCATGTACATGTGATTCCTAATTATATTTGAAATGTTATTCATTCACTTTGCTCTGTAAGCTCATGAATGTATTTCATGGATATGGATCAGAAGATAATGCGAAAGATCATTGGTGGCTCATTTACATATAATTCACTAAACCACAGAGATATTTTGGGAGCAATAAGAGTAATACTTCCCATTTCAACATCTTAACACACGTATGGTGAGTATGCATAGGACCTTTGCTGCATGCAGGCACATTTTTTTCCCTAGCCTCAAATGCCAATCGTTGACACAAAAACTTCTGCCATGGTTTCACGCCTCATATGCCAGCGAACCATAACTCACATTTCTTGGAAGTTGAGCATATTCCTTGACCTTCTTGTCAACTGTCTCTCTGAACTGAGCATCAGGGATGACCTCTGTTACCAGACCACGGTCAAACGCCTCCTGGGCGGTCAGCTTCTTACCAAACAGCAGGCACTCGTTAGCCTGTTTGTAAGAGGAACGTACAATAAAAATGGAGATGTTGGTTTAGTTGCATCAGCATTTTAGTCTAATGATTAACAAAGATGAGTTCAAAATCTGTCCTTTGGATGGTAATAACTAAAATGAATGCTGAGTTTTTATAACGGTGAAAAAGTATTTGTGAGCTTTCTCAATCGCCTTATGTTAGTTTATTCCTAGACTTAACTAATCAAACATGATTAGCACATGTCAAACACAAACCATGTATGTATGTACAAGCGCATGGATGAATGAGCAATTTGATATACATGTAGCTACGGTATAAACATGCCAAAACTTAATTATTATATATTTACCATGTCAGCAATTTTTCATACAATGAAACCAGTTTTAGCAACAACTTGTCTATAGAGTAGGATAAAAGACTGCATTTTATGGCGAGGGGGGGGGGGGGTTAGGGGTGGTGGTGTTGTTTCTTTTGAACAGTGTTTATGAGACCTGTAAGGAAGTAACCTGCTTATAGAGACAACCTGCTTCTCATCACCCATGAGTGGTCTTTATATACAGGTTTCACATGAATGCAAATTATGGAAATGCAGCCCAACTAAGTCAAACAAAATGGGTGCTTTCATCACATGCTCAAAAAGGTACCTTTGTACCAATGATGTACACTTTGGTGAAAGCTTAGATTAAAATCATCATGACAACCTGCTATGTACAAAGGTGAACCTCCATATCATTTTAAGAACCTCACCTGAGCTGTTCCCATTATTTTGGGGAATGTGTATGAAGAACAGCCCTCCGGGCTCTGACCAAGTGCCGCAAAAGGTGTGTGGAAGGTTGCCTGTTGGAGACATAGAAAATGGAATCGAATTGCAAAAAAAGAAAAGAACAAACAAATAAATGAATTGTGAATTTTACATCGTTTTATGAATTTAAAGGCCAAGTCCACTCCAAAAATAACTTACCGGTACTTAAAATAAAAGCAGAAAATCGGACAAACCAACAAGTTTGAGCAAAATCAGATAACTAATAAAATAGTTATGAATCTTTAATGACATGAACATTTTTGAAAATCACTAGACAAATTGGCAACTCACTCATGAGTCTGTGACGTCATTATTGCCTCACTATCCACTAGTTGTTTTCTTTATATTGATAATATACATTTCCCATTCACCCCGTCCCCCAAGAATCTTATTTCCTCACACCAGCATCCAAGTTATATTGATAGTAATATGTTTTTGTGTGGATGCACTAATATAGAGTTATTTTTTTTCAGTTAATCATGAAAAATGTGAACTTTAATAAACTATTTATATAAGAATCAATAATTATAAATAAAAAATATTCAGAAAATAGTATAAATTTCTACAAGTTCATAAAACTTTTTTAATGCAATATGATACAAATCATATAATCTGTGCAAAGGCATGGTGAAATTAAGCTTTGGGGGAGAACAAGGGAAATTAATGGATAAAAATATGTAAAGCAAGTAATAAACAGTGAGGCAATGACGTCACAAAATAATAACAAAATTAGCAAATTATGTAGTGATTTCCATTGCTCCATAGATTTTCATACTTTTTCCAAAAAAAATCTGCTTCTATTGAAAGAAAATTTGTTTTTTTGAGTGGCCTTGGCCTTTAAGCCAGCATACATTAACATAAAAAAGAAAGAATTCAGCAAAATCTTTGGAGGAAAAACAGCGTATAACGATATTAATATGCAACATTTATAAAGCACTTATGACCATTTTTCTAAGCACTTTCTATGTTATATAGCCCTTAAAAACATCAATAGGGACATGCGCCAATATTGAAGATAGACACTGCCTGTGTAGTGGATATCATCCTAACAGCAGGGTTGGAATGGCCATGAGGATTGAGATGGCTGGATTCCAAGGGAAACTACATATTTTAGCTTGAGAGGGCCTGTTATTTGTGATCTGGGGGGGGGGGGGGGGCGTTTGATGCGCAGTGGTGGGCCAGTTGCACTAAAAGTCCCCTGCTGTTATATGGTCCCATTCTGCCCCTGCTGAGTTTGCTTAATATTACCCACCATTACAAATTTTGTGTCAGATTCTTTGATATATGCATGTACATGACCATGGTGATAATTTTGCTGGACTCAATCAAAATTAGATTATCTGTTACGACTTTTGTTTTAAATGATATGAAATGGGACTCACTTTATCTGAGGCATAGATGACATCCATAAGGCCTAGTGTGGTTACTGAGATACCGACCGCTGGGCCATTCACAGCACAAATCAAAGGCTTGGGGAAATCTATAAAGCCATTCACAAATATCCTGCAAGGATTAAGCATTCAAAAAAAGGAAAGATATATCTATTAGTCATTGAATATTCATTGTTATAGCCAAAGAGTTTAAAGACATACCTGAAACCATCATTGAACTCACACTGTCACTGCTTGCTAACTTGTATATATTTTAACTCTAACACTGACTAACCTAGTGGAAAAGGCACTATATAAATTGCAAGTTTGCAACTAATTTATCGTTATTATCATTATAGTACATCTTTTTATGTTGTCTGCTGCATATAATCAAGAACTACATGGCCTGGGCATGGTTCTGTTTGATGCACATACATGTATGCTTGTTCCTCTGTTTATTCTTATGGTGAATAAACTAGTTTTCTTGGTAATCTCCTAAAAAAAAAATCTTAAATTTTTGGACATTCAATGTACATGTATGTGAGTTAAGTGAGATGCAATAATTCAAATGATTGGTGTGATATCTACCTACATCTGAAAAGAAATCATGAAATCATGCAGCATGAACTCATCTCTGGGACAAGTTGTTGAGATAAATGCATAATTTTCTTACATGTATTTCAAAAACTTTTTACAAAGACAAGTTCTTTTATTTATGATAAAATCCAAGGCTTTCCATCATTTATATATTTAGAACTTTTGTGATAACAAATTTATATACATAATTGAGGAAAAAATTATGGAAAGAGGTATAAGGTACACAGCAATTTAACAAATACACTCATAGCAAGGAGCTAAAATCTGTGACCTCAAAATCATTAACAAGTTTTCACTTACTCTAGCAGGTCGCTACCTTTTACAGATTCTTCATGTAAAACACTAGGGTCTATTTTCATGAAATTGTTGAGGTCATTCCCACTACAGTAATAATCACCAGCACCTACATGTATGAAACACAAGCATTACAATTATTACTTCACAGCAGTTGGGAAATTGAGAGCAGAATCATTATCAATAAAATAACTGAAATACACAGACAACAAATTATTTTTTTAAATTTTTGTCAAGGAAATATATTCTGTTTTGACATGTCATTTTGTATATTTGTTTTCATAATTTTCTAAGGAATGCTGAATGAAAATAAAACATCTCAATATTGGGAAACAAATATATTATGTCCACAGGGGTGAAATAGATAGAGCCAAAGGAATAACAAATAAACAGTACATAGGAAAACAAAACAGTGCAAATTAAGGCATTGAAACGAAGCACATTGTGTACATCAATGTAGAATCAATGTTCTTTGTTTTGACAAAATACACGATGCCTTTCATTCTATTGATACAAATAACCAGAAATAAATCTTTTTAAAAAAATGTTGCTTCATCATCCATGGTTACAAAAGCTACAACTATGGTTCCACCGGACACAATAAACTTTGTTATTCTTAAGCATGAATTGAATTTAAAGGTCATGGAGGTAATAACACTTCCTTAACGAGCTACAGGTGAACCAAAGTTGGGTGTACTTTTTTTCAATGAAATGTACACTGTATAGGTGCTAAAACAATTAAATATTGCATTGTTGTCAGGACATCTTGTGCGCAGAGAATGAGACTAACCAAAACATTTGTTTAATAATACTAATTTAAAATAAAAACAGTTTCTTATAAAGGGCCTTACCATTAACTGACCAAACGCTTACAGTATTATTATCACCCGTTAATGGATTTGCTTGCTATTCTGCACATTGTGGTGCACATTTTCCATACCCTGGGGAGCATTCCAGCTAGTCCTCTTTTAGGGGCACGCATATGCTAATCCAACCACATTGACGTTTGCATCCTGCCGGATACCAAATCAACACCTCGGTGGAGAGGATCAATGTAGATAAATTGCCTTGCCCAAGGACATAAGTGCCATGCTAGGGCTCGAACCCATGGCCTTTGCTTTTCCAGCTAAGTGATTGAACCTCTCGCCTACAACACCGCTACATAAATGTTTATAATGAATGATAATCTATTACGAACCTGTGATTACTGCCAGGACCACACGGTCATCCTCCCCTGCCATTTTCAGAGCAGCTGTCCATTCAGAATACATCTTGGGGAAAGAAAAAAATAACTTCATGACAATGGGAAGGAAGAAGATGAGGAATATATGAAAAAATAACAAAATACAACAATAGCTCTGACTCCTCCAACATGAAGTTCTGTTTTCTACGCTCTTCTCAAGATCTTTTACATTGAAATCTATCATGATCAGAGATCTTGAAACTTATAAAACTTTAGAACTCTAAAAGACATTATGAATAATGATATAATACCATATTGTTAAAAAAATATGAAAACAATACTTGGCTACTTATAAACTTTCTGAAAGTAATTACATTAGAGACAAAAAAACATGTCAGCCTTTTGGATAACATTTGATTTCAGTACATAAACTCCAAAAACAAGATATATCAAAGCACTGTCCTTAATTAGCATGAACGTTTTCATGTTCCTTCATCTTTTTTTCTTGTATTTTTTTGAGGTAGTGGTGGCGATAAGACCCTCACCTCTGTAGTTACAGCATTCTTCTTGTTGGGCCTATTTAGAGTGATGGTTGCTACCCCATTATCCACAGTGTACTTTAGCCCAGTGAAGGACAGAGATCCTTGGGTTGTTGAGGCCGTCTCTGCTTCACCACCTTCTTGTGCAACCAGATCATCGACAATGCCGACATATTTTTCTTTTGCTTGGTCCTGACAAAGAGAAAGAAAGTATTATATCTATTTTCAGTTCAGTGACAAAATAACATATTTTCATGGTTTAGAATACAAAATTCCTCAACATCTTGTGGTTTGTGACATTATCCTAAAAATTTAATGAGTGGTTTAGATTTGCAAAAGTTTCATGGCATCAAAAAACACACTCACAATCAACATAACACTATATTTTTTGCAATTCAGAAAAATATCTATAAAAAAGTTTTATGTCACAAATGTTTCAGCTTTACATTGAGAAGCTTCATACTGTAACTCTTAAAAAATAGAAAATCACTGATACTGTTAATCTGAATCATTCCTTTGATGTTTTAGCATATTTACCTGTGACATATTGCCTAGAGAATTCCAAGAAGACCACTTAGCCTTGCCAACAAAATCAAATGCTCCTGGTTTGGGGGTGTTGCACGTGCCAGCAGTTGCCTGAAAATGTACAAATATATGTGCATACATTGTAGGTCTATTCAATGGTGATCTGAGCACATTTGCTCATGGTTTTATTCTTTGATCGATGTATGGTTAGGGATAGAGCTTGGGTTGTACTGGGAAAGGGTTAGTAAAGTGATGGGTCCAGACTCCAGAGCAATTAATGAGACCAGTCGTCAGTCTGAGTTGACCTCAGCTCTTTATTAGGGACTTTTAGATTTGCATGACGAGAACGTGGACTGCTACATGTGACATCCTTTTTATATTAAGGCAATGTGATGTCCTTTTAAGTCACTGCCGGGCACTGCCAGTGCCTTAAAAGGACATCACATTGCATTAAAAGGATGTCACATGTAGCAGTCCACGTTCTCGTCATGCAAATCTAAAATTTCCTATTCAGACATGATCAGTACCAAAGTGCTAAACAACAAACCACAAACCCACAACCAAGCAGACGCCACGAGGTGGCACTACACTGTAGCAATTACACATAGCGTACTGGTTCAGGGTTACAGTTGGAAACGAAGTTAGCGTTACAAACCGGCGCCGGTGTATCAACGGTGCATCAGGACAAATTGGGCATATAGAGAATCTATTTTCTGGAACAGCCCAGTAGCCCAAAACTGTGATACATGAGTTTTTATACATATGATTATTTGTTTTGCCATCTGATATGCGATAGCATTGCAGGTTTTGTAATTTGTTGAGTTGGATCACATATGCAATATTCATTGATACTTCCACTGTAACTTTCTCATAGACATGATGAACATGTACATGTGTACATGTATGGTTGAATACATATATGCTACACATACATGTAAATGTACCTAAAAGGCAAATGTTTCCCTTTGTCATCAAAATTGTTCAAGCATGTATTTACATTACATATTGCTCAAACACTTAACAATTAATAGAAGCAATACTGGTAACTTATTTGTATAAAAATTGCATTTTTTTAATGTGTTTTTAAGATTTTTAACACTTTCTACCATTTTCCCAAAGTTACATCCTACAATGCGCACACGCATTTCAAATTCCTCTTTCTTAGTTACTCATACTACTTCAGTGTACAATAACCTGGTTCTCAACTAAAAACTTGTTAAACTTGTTAAACTATACAGGTATACACATACAATACAAAGTTATGTAGAGTATAGAATAATCTAAGAAGTGTAGGGTCTATAGAACAAAGTCAGTATGAATTTATAATCACCTGTTTAAAGAGAGCGTATATCTGAAGCTTGACCTCATTACCTGGATCTTCTTTCAAAGAGTTGAGTCTATCCTTAGCTGCAGTGAATTCAGCATCAGAGAAAGACATCATACATGCAGTGTTCTGGATTTGCCTCTTTAAAACTGGTGCATGTAATCTGAGAAGAAAAAGAAATAATTAACCAAAAAAGAAGAAGAACTAGTTTATGATCTTGTCATTCAACAAGAGCTCATTCAACAAGAGGTCCATGGTCCATGGACCTTACACTCACTTGAGCCTATATAGGAGCCTAGCAATAAGGGACCTAGCTCCCATCCCCTTTGCACCAGGAATATGAGATTTATTGGAACAGTATGGTAATTTAGGGGTACGCGTGCTGCTCCCAGGTACCCTGCATGGGCAGGTATCCCATTCAAACAAATTTAGGTCTTCTTCTAGTGACATAGCTGTCTAACAAGTTAGGCCTAACCAACAATGATTCCTACAATGTTTACAGTTTAGCCATAATCCATAGACCATACCCCCATTTTGCTATGGAATCATATCTACACTTAATCACTTCCCAGAATATGAAATAAATTATTACAGTAATACAGGTATTAGTAAATGGGCAGCTCTGAGTAAAGAGCTGTAATGATATGTATATCTCACTACCCTCTGCCCTCCAGGCTCCACTAGGTTGCCACCCCCGGGAAAGCCTGGCGAACATTGATAATACTGATCAACGCAAAGTCGCGATCGGGAGTCTCGATCTCATGTTATTGCTAAATTGTTTCATTCTCTCTTTCAGGACACTGTATCTCGTGACATAATTGGCCATTATAGACTATGCCTTCATAAATCTTGGTATATTTACCTTGTTGTACACGTATTACAAATATTGAACAGTCTCCTAGTTCCACATTTGAGACTGAAGAGGGCTGCCATATTCTCAGGGTGCTTGTGATTCTCGATCTTTTGTAGTTAGCGACCAATAAGAGATTCGGTCACTGGATGGATGCATTGCACGTGCACTGTGCACTGGCTTCCTCATCATGACGTCACACTTCGCGCGAAAACATAAATAAGAAGGAAGAAGAAAAAAGTTCAAGAAACTTTTAAGTTTGATCTTAAAGGGTGCAGCATGGATTCGCATAACAATACTGTCATAAAAGGTAAAAGGTTTTCTACGAACTCCTTCCACCACATTAGTCTCGTCTTGGTTTATTTTTGCGTGATGGACGGAGGCCGGGTTGCCTTGCCGAAATAGTCAGTGACTAGGTCTAGATTCTAGTTTAAGTCCCGCGTGTGCAGTTTTAAGTTTTGTTTTATCTTAGGCCTGCGCCTGAGGGGTCTAGATCTAGTCTATGCAGAGTTGCAGACTCAAGATTTTTCAACTTGACAGTTTCTCAGACTCAACAAATTACAAGGTCTAACTCATTTAGCTGGTAAATTTATAATCCAATCTAGATCTACACGTAGCTTACATTTACAAGCAACTGTGTAGACTCTAATACTAATAGAATCAATTAATGCATGAGTCTGGATCTGGTTAAGTCTTAGATCTAGAGACAAGTACTAGAGTCTAATATAATAAGTTTATAATTTGTTTTTTTTCCTTTTTGATTTTATTAGGCTAATGGCCTGTCTAGAGAGTAGTCTAGTCGTAATTGTCTAATGACATGGGGCGATATCCTGAACCCTGTGTTATCTCTAATATTGTTGTATCTTTGAAGATTAAGACTAAAGTTGGTAGATCTATTCTGAACATTGTAACTTTTGTTGTATCTTTTCTCTCATCTGTTTGGTCGCGCCTTTGTTCAAACTTTGGTGTGCTTGTAATACACCAGTTTACGGTTACACAGGGTGCTACAAGAATTTTTTTCACCACTTGCCCTGTCGGGCAAGTGGGTTTTCAATTTAGACCCTACTTGCCCAAACAATATTTCCACTTGCCCAAAACTTTAAAGCGAAAAAGGACTCGAGGTTAAAGCATTTATTATCTCGTAATGATAAGTTAGTGTTTTAGATAGCAAATTAATGCACATACATGTACAGTGTAACTGTACTGAATAATAACCTAATATGTCAAAGAAAATGGTCAACAAGGATGGTTGAAGGTTTAAAAAACGCATTTTATTGATTCTCCATAAATAATCAGATTCACATGAATCTCGGCAAGGTAGAATGGTTCAAGCAGGTTTAAGTTTTTAATATTCAGTCATGTAAAAAAGCATAATGACCCTGTTGTAAAAAATATGATACAAACATGTCATTAATGGTAGCCACATGTACCATGGTGCAACATCACATGTGTGTCTGTGCAAGCCGCTGTCATTTGGAAACGTAGGCTAATTTTCAGCTGTTAATAATTTGGGTCAACTCTTCCATCAAGAAACGTCATGTAATAATGGTAATCAACTATTTTAAATAAAGTACGGACATTTTTATTTCATCATTCACTGCTATAAATATCATGCCAAAATTTGTAAATTCTTACTAATAATAATATTGAAGATATTTTACGATAAATCTCGGATAAGTATGCGAAAACTAGACTAAACAACGTCGCTAAAACCATGAAAACAAAACAACAACGGCTTATATTCTGGGGTCTCGATACTATTATCAAAATGACTCGCTCGGTTCGGATCTTGAGACCGCAGTAATAAATTGAAAACGAGACAAAAACATTCATCTGATTTATATGAGCAGCGAGTTTTAAATAATATGTTCACAATCATTAACAGTCATTATGAATAAATATCAAACATTTGACTTTTTGTACTTACTAGAAAATCCCTGTTGTTTATTCCATTCCGATTCGCACGTGTTCATTTCCCTAGAATAATGACGTCATATTTGGCGTGATTCAACCAATCGGCAATCAGAGAATAGCAAAGGCCTGTCGGTGCGGCCTGCAGAGCTAGAGAGAGAGAGCGCGAATAAGCTCGCAGCTGGTACGATCGCGCTAGCTGTCTCTAGCTAGCTCACGGCCGGCCGTGCGTGGAGGCGGAGCGGCATTCATGGCTTGAAGTGTCACTGTTGCATGCGCGCTGAGCTAGCTGAGCTGGCTAGCTGTCTGTGAAGTTTTTTCGAAATCGGAACGATCGCTTTTTTGCTTCTGGATTTTGACGACGGGTAAGAAGTTGACGGGTGAATGGTAGAGTTCTTGGACACTAGGAAATTACTGTAAAAGTATCACTTGCCCGAATCGGGCAAGTGATAATTTGATTTACTTGCCCGACGGCTCAATTTGGTTGCCCCGGGACGTCGGGCAAGCGGGTTTGTCGCGCCCTGTTACATCAGTGCACTTTCGCAGACATGGGCGCCATTTTAATTGACTTTGAAACAAAGCCAATGACCTGAGGTCAGTGGTATTTATGCGTGAATTAAGATTGCGCCCATGCAAATGATGATATGCGCGCACAACGCAGCGCGCAGGCAGTGATGTCATAATTTGCATGGGCGCAATCTTAATTTACGCATAAATACATGACCTCTGCGTCATCGGCTTTCCTTACTCGCCAATTAAAATGGCGCCCCTAACCGTAAACTGGTGTATTGTGCTCATTACTAAAATGGCGCTTAGGTCTATTTAATCCTCATTTGCATATGCGCACAAGAGATAATATGACGAGGTAATTAGTAGTGCTGTAGTCAAACGTTTAACCGTCCGTATCCGACCGCCCATGGCGGATTCCGTTTCCAATTGGACGGTTTCGTTTTCCTGTTTTTTTTTGTTTTGTTTTGTTTTTTTTTAATAATTTTTTTTGTTTTTTGTTTTTTTTTTTTTTTTTTTGTTTTTTTTTTTTAAAGTTTCGATTTATGCCCCTCCACCTGGCACTATGCCTGGCAATGTCTCCCAGCTCAGAAATCGGTGTGATGACTTACCACTTGGAAACTAGAACAATACTCCAATTTGTCTGTCATCTTGGTTTGAAAGTAATCTTTGTAATAGATCTCAATATATATTCATCCAAGTTTAACACACGGTGTACCACAAGGTTCTATCCTAGGTCCTCTACTGTTTTTAATTTACTTTAATGATCTTACACATTATTCTAAAACGACATTGTTACTATTATTTGTGACTAGTTCACAAGCACAAATCGGCGCCTTCAGTTAAATCACCTTCCTGCTTTTTCACACGGCAAAAAAAAAAAAAAAAAAAAAACGATTTTTTTTTTTTTTTTTTTTTTTTTTTTTTTTTTTTTTTTTAAATAAATCGTTTAAACCGAAAACCGTCCGGTTTTGACAGGCGGTTAAACGGAATTGGAGATATCCGTAATGTTACAGCACTAGTAATTAGTATTCTGAAAATTGTTGTATCTTTTATCTTATCTTATCTTGCATGGTATTTACAACAATATTTACAACAGGTAGGGGGTTGTTGTATCTTTCGTGGTCATATAATGGCGGCAATATTTCTTGCCCATCTAGATCTAGATTTAGTTGAGTTTTGTACAAACTACAGTTTCAGTGGTGTTTGAAATGTTGAGAATCAATACTGTGTCTATAGAACAGAACAGTTAGTTTAATATACAGCGCTAGAGGTTAATGCTAATGCGTATTGACTGACCTCTAGCGCTGTATACTTGCTGAGACGGCAGGTGTATTTGTGTAAGAGTTAAAATTAGACTCATCCTGTTAATCCCATATACTTTTATTCTCTAGTCTCTTCTCTCTCTATACGTATCATGTCACATCATTTACATATTCACTTCCTCCATTCATCTCCTCCACATACCAAGTCTTCAAACGGGTGGTAGACTATGTTCCTTTGTTCTCTAATTCTCATTCTTTATTCATGAATCTTGTGTCAATGCTTCAGGTATTTCCACTTCTTACTTATCATTGGTTCTCTTCTCCTTTTCCTTATGAAATTCAGTCTTACTATCAAATCCTATTTTGCTATTGGTTTATGATGTCTTTCATTTCAATATAGTTTGCTTAAGAATAATCAGTATGATGCTGCATAGCAGCCTATACTAGGGACTTTTAGATTGCACAACGACAACGTGGATTGCTACGATCGACGTCCTTTTAATGCACTGCCTTGAATGGGCGTCACACGTATCAGTCAACGCAAATCTAAAAGTCCCTAATAATTGGACACTGGTGGCAACGGTGTTTCTGTGTTCTTCCCAGAAATTTTGGACCACCTTCGCCATCGATTTACTTCATTCATCTATTGATTGTCTGAGCTGTTTTGCAGCTAAATATTTTCTCACGAATTTTGCCCCCTCTCCTGCAGCCGGCTGGATCCGCCCCTGGTGTTTGAAATGTTGAGAATCAATAAAGCAGTTGTTAATAACAGCCAGGACAGTTATGTGTGGGTATTGAGTATTCACCTGTATTCATTCACCTGTCTTTTTCGGGCTCCCTAGTAAGACAATGTCTTGTAATGCCCTCCCATAGTTTATTTGTACACCACTGCAAAGAGTTTGTTCTTTGATACAATAGGTCCATTGTTGGATCTGTGGGAAGACTCAACAGGATTATCACCTGCTGGCCTATAACTAAACTTGTCGAGCTGTGTTGAAAGATAGGCATCCACCTCTGATTTGAATCTGTTTATGGTTGGTGCATTCACTGCTGACATCGGTAGTTTGTTCCAGGTGTTGACTACACGGTGTGTGAAGCTATACTTGCGGATGTTGAGATGTGCACGCTCCTTGGGGATCCTCGTGTTGTGGCCTCGTAGATTGGTTTCCAGCTCCTTCATTGTAAACAGATTGTTTATCTTGATATCGTTGAGGCCATGCATGATCTTGTAGACTTGAATCATGTCACCACGGAGGCGTCTGTACGAGAGGGTAGGTAGGTTGAGCCGTTGAAGACGGGTTTCATATGTAAGTCTTTCAGTGCTGGAATCATCTTTGTGGCACGCCTCTGGACTTTTTCAATTGTTGTTCTATCCCTTTCTAGTAATGGGCTCCACCAGGCGCGGATCCAGGGGGGGGCCGAGCGTGCCTTGGCCCCCCCCCCCCCCCCCCCGCAAAAAAAAAAAAAAAGGAGAGAGAGAGAG